AGCGAACTTTCGCCGTGTTACCAGGTCTTTGAGAGCAGCGACGGCATTGAAGGTAGGTAATTTCGGCGGCTCCACAATTCTGACATGCGGTGCGTTCCATTGCTGTGCTGGAGCAGCATTGAAGTTTTGCTTCTCTGGTAGAAACGCCACAAACGTGGTGTCGCGAAGCTCGTCTGGAAAGTTTGGGTGAATATAAATAAAAGCTAGACTTTTGTCTTACTTGACAACAAACGAAGAGCATCCTCCGAGGCACGAGAGCGAGCATCTCTGCTGGTTCTGCCAACACCCCTCGCAATTTTTTCTCCATTGAAGGTCACCTGTAACTCGTAAAAATCAGCTTTCAAGAACATACTTTCATTTGCTACGCTCGCTTACCTCCACACAAAACTGAAGCTCGATAGTGGGACTTACGGAAGACCTGAACTCCAGCTGTTCATGGCAGAAGGAGAAGAACGTGTAAGTAAAGTTAAAAAAAGGCTCAATGCGCACCTGAGCATTGTACTTTCGAGCCATAGCTTGTAATAAAATAATAGAATTAGACGGTTCAGGAACAGTACTGCCGTTTATTCTATAGTCTGTATCTAAAATCAAGGCGGGTGTGAGTGGCCAAGAAATACTAGACGCGAACGTACCTGAATAGTCTAAAAGCTTCCTATCTTGATTTTGTGGCCGCAAGAGACCGCCCTGAATAACAACAGAAAACTATGAGAGATCAAACAGAGTTGGTCAAGCACTTACAATCTGTCCGGCTTCTAACGGGGCGTCTGACGAACCACCTGGTCGCCCAGGACTCACTTGTTCTTCGTCCCATTCTGTTGATGGTCCTGCAGCATTGTCCTGACCATGCTGCAAAATTAACAGCCTCCTACGCGTGTCAGGATCTAACTCAGATTCTGGAACCTCTCCTTCCTCCCAGTTTTCACCAGACGGTTCGGGCGCAGGGTTCTTGTTTTCTAGCTGAGGATTCCAGATGGTTTCGGTTTCAGCGTCAGCTAAGCCATCCGGTAGATCTTTGCTGCCGCCGCCGGCGTCCACTGCCACCGCCGCATCTTGTGCTCTCTGAGCGCGTAAAGAACCGTATCAAGCAATGAAACCAGACAGAAAGGAAAAACAAGGAGCTTACCAAATAACTACTAACATCCAGTGGTTTAGGAAGTGTGGAAGTATCCGTATCGAATACAACCGAACCCAATTGCTGCGATAAAACTTCATCGAACTCCCTGCATATTTCACAGAAGAATTAACAGAGCAGTCGTACGCATTGTAAGCTCCAACTACTCACTTGAAGAAGTTGCCCCGAACGGTGCTTGAGATGTTTTTGGCAATACAAAGAACCGGTAAACTACCCGTTGTCTGTTGGAATCAGCAAAAGATTTTGTCAAAGCGAGACTCGACACACAGACTGCCTACCTCTGCCTGAGGAGCATAATACGGTACGAAAGGAGGCACAACATGAACCCGTGGTTGATCTACCTCCGTCCACACATTAGAGCGGTCATCAATGACCATTGACAACCGCGGATGGCACTGCCCTTTCCGGAAGACGTTAGCAAGCGATTTTAAGCCTGAAAGTTTCGAGCACAGTATGAATAAATGCGAATCCGAATAAAAAAGATAAGAGAAAGAGAAGAGATCTACCTCCTGCCTTCACGCACACAACTCGTTCCTCGACCTCAATGGACGGGATCAAGCGTGCGTCTGGATCAAGAAGCCTCCACATTTCCAGCGCGTAGTCCTTCTCCGCCAGCGTACATATAAACACTTCGAAACGTTTCCTTCCTTTAGCGGTGAGGTAGCTCCTCAGCTCCTCCCAGGCTGGTCGGATCCTCACCAGAACACTCGTGAAACGGACCTACACAAACCAGAAAACATGAAGTCAGTCACCTCAACCCAGCGAAAAAGAGAAAGAAAGACCAAATCTTACAAGAGGATTGATGCGTGTCAGGATGATATTGCGACTGTCAAGCCGGATAATAGGACGTTCCAGAGCCGGGGTGGCGTCAGAGGACGAAGGAACCATCTCGGTCTGGGCTTTGATGATCTTGCCATTGTCTAGCACACAGTCATTCTCCATGTACTGTTTGAGAATGGAGTGATCCTCTTGGTATCTCTTCAGTTCACCAGCGAGAGCAGCAGCACGCTCGGGATCAGTCTCCAAGCGCATCTTCCGCGTGAGAGCGTCCATGCGGTCTTCGAAGGATCGCATGGTGTTGGCAACGATGAGCGTCTCGTCCAGGTCGAAAACCAAGCCCAGGCATCTCAGGTTGAGCATTGTGAGGCACGAGGCGTAGGATCCCTGCCCCGTGAGAAATCCCCAGAAGCACGGCTGCTGCGTGTGCTGGAGCTGCGAGAACTCCTCGTCGCCATCGCTCCTCTTGGTCATGGCCACCAGGTGGAGCTCCATTCCAGCTTCCATTTGCACCATTGCGGTCTGCAAGAACAGCAGCAGGCCGGCCGATAAGAAGATCATAAGCTGTGCGAAGAAATCTCGCGCGTACCTTGGCTTCGTGGAGGCAGGAGGAGTGGAGGAATGTGAGGCCGTCGGGCTGCTGCTGCTGCTGGGGGAGATCCATGGTGAACAAGACGCCGCCGCTGGAGATGGAATGCATGATGAGCAGCGGCGTGCATCGATCGCTGGGCGGCGAGAAATCCGAGACGCGCATCGCCTTGCCGGAGAACATATGGGAGACATGATCCTCGGCGCCCGGACGAACCCTAACTTCTCCAATGTAGTCGTCCTTGTTAAACAAGAAGGTAGTGAATTCCCTGGGAGGAAGTGGTGGAGGAGCTACTGCTAGTGCCATCAAAGGAAAGATCTCTCTCCTTGCGCGACTGCCCGGGCCCTAATTCGTCACCATGCACCACCGCAGAGCAAGATCGAGGCCTACCGATGGGCAGCTGCGAATTCGCGAATCGATGACGATGGCGGTGGCGAATCGATGCTACATTTCCAGATTTCAATGTCCGGGCGTGAGGAATCGGGAGCTTGGGTTGTCTTGTTTGGCAAAATATTTTCTTCTTCTTCGTTCTTCTCCTCTTCCTTCTTGTTTGCTTTTGATTTGATCGATCCTGGATTCTTGCTGCGGCTGGCCTGCTCTTGAGAGATGAGATTGAATGGCTGCTCCACTTTCCCCTGGTGGTACGAATGGATCGACTGATATACGTAAAATCTCCTTGACTTAAGCTTAACACACCCCCGCAGTTTAAGCACAGGAGGAGTGTGTCGTTTCTTTCGAGCACGAACAAAGGGAGAAAAAAAGATCAAAACATTCGTTTGGAGAGAAATCGAGGCGGCGCTCTGTCTGTGTGCTTGCGATTGCGAGTGCTATTGCGACTACGCGGTGGAATCCACAAACCCTAAAAGCGGCGCAACAAGAGAGACAAAGAGAGCAGCGAGACGAAGTTGCAGTGTCTTTCGGTAATGGATTGGCGAGGGATTGAGACGAGACGAATAGAGAAACCCAGCTAGGGTTTTTTCTTCCTGCGCGACTAGGGTTTGCGAGAGCTCGGCTATGGCGGACAAAAAACCCTAGAACCGTGCAAAGGCGCCCAAGAAAATATATAGTCCAATCGCGCGGTGCCACGTCGCAAGGTCTTAAGCCACGTCATTGGCGGCATATTCGCTCGGCGCTACCCTAGGGTTTACTCTATGATGGCACAGGGCGATGGCGCGGCGCTCGGCGGCTTCGACTACAGCAACTGCCGGAGGAATCAGATGCTGGAGAAGGCCGGCATCAAGCTCGATCGATACTTGAAGACCGGCACCACGATCGTCGGCCTCGTCTATCAGGTATTGCATTGCATTCCTCGAAGAACCATCTCCAATCGGTCTCTCCAGGATGGCGTGATCTTGGGAGCCGATACACGAGCTACAGAGGGCGACATTGTAGCTGACAAGAACTGCGAGAAGATTCACTACTTGGCTCCCAATATTTACTGCTGCGGGGCTGGGACTGCTGCCGACACCGAGGCTGTGACTGGTAAGCTCGTAGATCCATCGCATTTTTCCAGAATTTGCTCCTTGGATCTAAACTTTCTTTGCGCAGACATGGTACGCACACAGTTGGAGCTTCACAGGTATGCCACCGGCCGTGGATCACGCGTCATCACAGCACTGACGATGCTAAAGTCTCATCTCTTCAAGTAACTTGCTTTCGATTTTCCAAAGGGTGGTGTTTTACTAGTTGCTTTTCCTTGAAGCTACCAAGGTCACGTAAGCGCTGCTCTAGTGCTCGGTGGATTTGATGTATCCGGTCCTCACCTACACACTGTGAGTTGCTAGCTTGCCTGCGATGTGGTTTGATTTTCGAGAGGCTCAGGTTTATCCCCATGGATCGACGGATACTCTGCCATTTGCGACGATGGGATCCGGCTCTCTTGCTGCCATGTCGGTTTTCGAAGCTGGCTTCAGAGAAAAGATGACGGTGAGCTCAGCTGAATAGACTTGATTGGTGATTGCTTACTTGCTTGTTTCGTCTCATCAGAAGGAAGAAGGGATGAGCCTCGTCAGTGACGCAATCTGTGCTGGAATTTTCAATGACTTGGGCAGTGGAAGCAACGTCGATTTATGTGTGATCACAAAGGTATCCAAATGCGTTCTTCTTTTCTCTCGAAAGCTCGCTTTTCTGGTTTAGGCTGGGAAAGAATACTTGAGGAACCACATGACGCCGAATCAAAGGGTCATTACCAAAGGCTATACTTTCAAGAGGGGCCACACCCGTGAGTATTTCTTCTTTTTCTATCTTCGCCACCGACCTTTGGCTTGTCACCATCTTCTTTGCAGCGATTCTCTCGACGAAGATCGTCCCCCTCCGCGACAGAGTGGACGTCAGTGAGGGAGAAGCTATGGAAGAGTAATCGCCCAGTTAAGTTTCCAATGGATTCTTCTTTCGAGAAAAAACAAAGCCTTTGGAAGTCCATTCCCATTGTTTCTTGGAGGATCGATTTAGTTTTCCACATCTCCTAGTCTATAAATATGGGCTTGCATGGTCTCGCTTTGACAGTTTGGTGCTTTGATAATGTCAAAGAAGCGCGAGGTTTAGGGCGTAGAGAAAAAAGAGAGAAGAAAGAAAGAGGGGAGGATGATGAACATTGCGAACGATTTGCTGGATGCCATCCCGGCCTACACTGGCCTCTCGCCCACCGCATTCTTCACAGTGCTGGCGCTGGGCGTGGCGCTATGGCTTGTCGTCAGCTCCTGGTTTGCTCCTCCTCCCCCGCCCGCCTTTGCCCCGCGCGAGCCCCCGCCCCCGCCCAAGCAGCTGGGCGAGGTCACGGAAGAGGAGCTCAGCGCCTACGATGGCAAGGATGACTCCAAGCCGCTGCTCATGGCCATCAAGGGCCAAATCTATGACGTCTCCATGTCCAGGTAGAAGAGATTCTTCCCCATTTCGTTTGTGCCACTGGTGTGATCTTTGGGAGATTTCAGGGTTTTCTATGGGCCGGGCGGGCCTTACGAGCTCTTCGCCGGGAAGGATGCGAGCCGGGCGCTGGCCAAGATGTCGTTCGAGCCCGAGGACTTGAACGGGAATCTCGATGGCCTCAGCCCCTATGAGCTGGAAGCGCTGTCGGATTGGGAGTACAAATTCTCCTCCAAGTACATCAAGGTGGGGGAGATCAAGAAAGCAATTGGCGATGGCGATGGCGATGGCGATGGCGATGGCGTGTCAGCTCCCGTGGAAGACGAGAAGCCAGAGAAGATCGCCGATTAGGGTTCTTCGCGCAAGATAGTCTATTACTTTATGCCATGTTGGCAGTGACGTGGACAATGAAACGTTGGGATGTGAGTTTTTTTTTGTCTAGGGCTCCCGGCAGTTGGGAGGGGAGGGGACGGATGATCCACGCGAGCGCGCACACTGCGAGAGGATCGATTCTATGGGTGCTGGACAGAGAGGTAAGCGCCGATCGATTGCGCATCGAATAGCAGCAGCATTGTGAAATCTCGCGCGCAGGACTTGCCGAGATTCTCCCTTGCGACAGCGAGGCCAAGGAATCGAGTGAATCGGGAGCTGTGAGCCGGTTCTTGTGCGCGGCGGCTGCGACCAGCGCGATCGCATCGCCGGAGGAAGATCAAGGGAAGCAAGGAGATTTAGACGAAGCGGGGGTTCTTCGCGAGCAGTTTGAGTCCCAAGCCCGGCAGCTGATCGCGCGAATCAACTGGCTGCAAGAGAATTTGCAGCTGGAAGAGGAGAGCCGACTAGTGGCGGAGAACCAGGCGCTATCGCTACGCTTGGCGTGTGCGCAGCAAGCGGGCAAAGTCGAGGAGCTCTCTGAGCAAATCAGTATGCTCTTCCAGGATTTGGATGAGCAGCACAAGCACTGGACGAGCTTGGAAGCCAAGCTGGAGTTTGAGCAGCAGGAAAGGCTTCATATCGAGGCCACGCTCAAGGCTCTAGCTGCGGGAGCTGCGCAGGGATTTTGTTCCTCACCCCCTCCACAGAGCTGTGCGTCGGATGGATGGAGCTCCGCTCAAGCGAGTCCCACTCCCACGGCGGCGGTGGAAGGATTTAGAGTCTCCTGGGACAATGTAGAGTATGAAGGAGACGCAAAGAAGAGTTCCTGCAAGGCTGCCAACATGTTTAAGGAGCTCAACTCGGAGTGGTCCAACTACAAGTCGGAAGGGAAGCTCGGAAGCTGGAGCTTGGCGAAAGTGTTGCGGAGGCTCAGCTTTTCCGACGTGAAGAAGAAGAGGGGAGGAGCAAACAAGAGCAGCAGCAGTGCTGCCTTTGAAAGCGCTCCTGAAGCAAACTCGGGAGAGTCTAGGCGAGTTTACGACACTGCGAAGCTCACAGAAGAGATTTTCAGCCTGAACTCCGAGGCATCCGACGTCAGGGAACGGCATTTGGCTGACTTGAGGAACAAGTTGGAGCTGCAACACCGGGGTGGTAGGGTGCCACAAGTAGAGGACAGGGACGTTTCTAGTGAAACGTGGAGTGACTATCCAAAGCCCCGTTTCAAGTCGGCCAAAGTCTCGAGGAGTGTTTCAAGATCGACTACCAAAAGGCACGGTTCTCAGAAGAGCTTTGAACTAGACAACAAAGCTCACTTCAAGATTGAGAACCTGGGAAGGCAGGTGTTTCACCTGAAGAAGCTGTGCACAGAGAAGACGCAGCTTGTAAAGCTAGAGAAGAGGCGGCGGAACGAGGCTGAGAATCGGTATTACGTGCTCGTGAAAAATCTGGAGAAGCAGGTTTTGCAGCTGCGGAAAATAAACCTCCGGAAGGCCGATGAAATCAAGCAAGAGCGGTGTCGGCGGCAGGAGGCCGAGAAGAGAAGTGTGGTCGAAGTGGAGAGTCTGGAGAGGCAAGTGGTGAGGCTCAGCAAGCTTGCTGATGCAAGAGCACATGACGTCAAGCACGAACAGAAGCAGAGACTGGAGGCGCAGAAGAGGCTCAAGGACCTGGTCAGCCAGCTGAAATCATCCAAAGTTTCTGCTCAAGGCGTGCAGTTGAGCAAGCCCCAACGGAGCCCGAAAGCTAAGCAGGCTGCGTCAAAGACGAGCCTGCCATTGTCCCCGGCGGGAGCTGGTTTTGCGCAAGCAGAAGACCAACCGGCGGACGATGAAGTGGGAGGACGGGAAGACGAAGGGGAGTTCGTTGAGTTGGAAGCATTGCAGTTCAGAACGCTGGGAACAAGTGATTTCCAAGGGAGTTCTTCCGAGCGGCACGTATGGAAACTTCAAACCAAGCAGAAAGGACGCATCGTCCTGACGCCGCTCCAGAGTGTGGTCCCTGAGCACAAATGTAAGTCGGAGCAGCAGCAGCAGGGCCTGGAGCTGTCATCAACAGCGGATCGTGAGCGGGACGAGGTGCAAGTTGAAGAAGCTGGTCCGAACTCCAATTGCAATGCTGACTCGGGAGGAACCAACCAGATCCTCAGTGACAACGAGAGCAGCGATTCATTAAGCGTTGCCACGCCGCAGCAAGGGAGGGAGGACAAGAGGCTGGAAACCAGCGTCACCGCATCACCTCGGCCGAGCAGTCTAACCGGGAAGATTTCTCAGCTGAAAGAGACGACAACCAGATTACTCAAAGATTTGGAAGGAACTCAGCTGTTGCTGAACACTCCTGCTACTACTGCTGCTATTGCTACTATCGAAAGTGAAGGTGATGGTGGTGGTGATGGTGACGGTGGTGGCGATGGTGGTGGTGCTTGTGACGGTGGTGACTCTATAAGAGCGGACGTAGAACAAGGTAAATACCTCTGGGCTCCAGGTCCAGGTTTCGGTTTGCAGGAGTCTCTCTACTACGATGACGATTTTCGGCTAAAACACCATCTGTTGGAATTGAGACGTGGTTTCAGAGCCAGGACAGGATTGGTAGGAGGAATTGAAGACTTTGCCCCGGCACGAAGTGACGATCACGCAAGGAAGAAGAAGCATTCCTACAACAAGACAAGAGTCGTCAGCAAAGGCTGGATGAAGACAAAGGTGGAGCTGATGCTGAGGCTGGTTTTCGACAGGCAAGAGCAAGAAGAAGAGGATGATGACGAAGGAAACGATTACAGAGTTTTGGTTGGAAGTCGTGCCGGCGATGGTGGTGGCGACGACTTTGCGCGGTCCCATTTGCTGGGACAACAACGCTGCGAAGAAGATGAGGCTGCGTTCTTTTGACAAAGGCGAGCGAGCTGCGTTGACGATCTTCGAGCAACCGCGAGAGCGATCTCCACGAATTTGGTTTGTTCTTGAGGAATGAAACCAAGAGCAAAACAGGGACATCGTCCTGGGATCATGGATTCATTGATAGCTCGCCAGGGATCTCACCTAAAAAAGTAGAGGCATTTGCTACTTTGCTACTTTGCATTGAATGACCACTGAGCTGTCTGTGACCGCGAGTCAATTCCCGTCCGACGTGGCGTGCTGGCGTGGCAGGGACTATATAGGAGCTACCTAGGATAGAGAGAGAGAGAGGAGGGAGGGAGAAGAGTAAGCGTGACGGGGAGCGCCAAGGCTAGGGCTTTTAGATCGCGCTGAGCTGCGCCGCGCTGCGATGGAGGAGGTGCTCGATTGCTACATCGTCAAGGTCGAGGAGGCCAAGCGCGATGGATCGGCGTCCATGGGGCCTGTGTACCGGAGCGTCTACGCCAAGGACGGGCTCGTCGAAGCTCCCGAGGGCGCCAGGACGTGCTGGGAGCTCTTCAGGTATGATATTACGGCGGCATTTCGATCGATTCTCACGCTCTCGCGGTTCTTGGTCCAGCAACACGGTCAAGACCTCGCCCAACGCTAGAATGCTCGGCCATCGCCCGATTGTCGCCGGGAAGGTGAGATTTCTCTCTCGGTCCCTGTGTCTACAGTGCCATTCGCTCCGTTAAGAAGGCCTCTTTCTAAATTGTTCTTTCTAGGTAGGGAAGTACGTGTGGCAAACGTATCAGGAAGTTTACAATCAGGTTCTCTACATTGGATCTGCAATGCGGACTCTGGGCGTCGGGCCGGTACGAGAGTGATCGATCTCACGCGTTTCTTCTATTCTCGACGCTTAACTTAAATTTGGTGTTCCAGAAAGGTCGCTGTGGTATCTATGGAATAAACTGTCCTGCATGGATGATCACACTCCAGGTATGCTCCAAGGATGGTCTTATGGATCCGGGATTCATTTATTTTCTTTCCTCTTCTTTGCAGGCATGTAATGGCCACAGTATCTATGCTGTTCCTCTATATGACACTCTCGGTACGTATGAGCTAGAGCTTGGGTCTTGATTTTTCGGTTCCGCGAAGCCTTTCGCTTTGAATTATAACTCGGCCGTCTTTCAGGAGATGATGCTGTGGAGTTCATTGTTGGACACGCTGAAGTTAGTATCGTGTTTGCACACGCTGATAAAATACCAGCTGTAAGTCACACACGGTGTCTTCAAGTTGAAGAATTCTCTTAACCGCATTTGTTTGTGAATATGGCAGGTTCTGCGCGCTTTACCGAAGTGCTCGAAGTATGTCAAGAGTGAGTATTTTAATTGGCAGCATCTATTGTCTTATCGCCTTAGATTTTTTCGGCAGCTCTTGTCAGCTTTGGCGTGATGGCTGATAGCGATAAAGAACAAGTCAAGAGTGCTGGGGCAGCGGCGTATTCTTGGGATGAGTTTTTGAATTTGGTGAGAATTTACGTGTGAAGTGTCGTTTCATTGACTAACAGCGTAAACGCAGGGAAAAACGAACCCCGTGAACTTCGAGCCTCCAAAACCGGAAGATATATGCACCATCATGTACACAAGCGGCACGACCGGAGAACCCAAGGGCGTTTTGCTATCGAACGAAAGTATTGTGACAGCGATAGCAGGCATCGATTACTACCTCAAAGTGAAAAACGAGAAGGTATATGTGGAAGTTTTACGTAAAGGTTTTTTGTTTCCTTCTACAGCAATTGTCTCCTTGTGTAGGTTGATGCGTCAGATGTGTATTTGTCTTATCTTCCCCTTGCCCACATTTTTGATCGCGCTGTTGAGGAATTCTTTATCTACAATGGTGCTGCAATTGGATTTTTTCAGGGGGTAAGGATTCTGTGATAAAGAACTTGAGCTCAAGCATTTGTGTGACTTTCAGGACGTCAAGTACATATCAGACGACATTCAAGAGCTAAAACCCACGTTATTTGCTGGAGTTCCTCGAGTTTTTGATCGTGTTTACGCTGGTTTGTATACTGCTAGTGTTATTTACGAGAGAGTTCTTACGTTTTCTTTCTGTCAGGAGCAAAAGCAAAGCTTGCAGAAGCACCCGCATACCGACAGGCAATATTTGACTTTGCTTATAGGCGGTGAGTAGTTACCTTTCCTAGTTTCTAGAAGATTGAGAATGCATACAGGAAGCTGGGATATATGAAAATGGGATTCAAACAAGAAAAGGCATCTCCAATGGCAGATGTTCTTGTTTTCAGCAAGGTAATTTACTGTTGCACTTTGTTGTTCTTTGTTAATCACGCCATCTGTGGCAGGTGAAACAAAGGCTGGGAGGTCGTGCTCGACTATTGATTTCCGGTGCCGCACCCCTGGCAGATCATGTAGAGGAATTTCTGAGGGTGGCCTCTTGTGCTCGCATGACACAAGGCTACGGTAAGGAAAGCACCTGTGACGTGCTATCGCTAATGTGTAGCTTTCAGGGTTAACCGAGACTTGCGCGGCCAGCTTCATCTCCATTCCTGATGTCTACTCGATGCACGGAACAGTCGGCCCTCCCATTCCTGTGATTGAGGTTTGTCTGCAGTCTGTTCCAGAGATGAACTACGATGCACTTGCCGAGACACCTAAAGGAGAGGTTTGCATCCGGGGAAAGACACTGTTCTCTGGATACTACAAACGGGAAGATCTAACTGCGGAATGCATGATTGACGGCTGGTTCCACACGGGTAGGGACTCAAAAGAAACTTGCTACGTGGTTCTTACTGAACGAGGTTTTTATAGGAGATATCGGAGAGTGGCTACCAAACGGAGCCTTGAAAATCATAGACAGGAAGAAGAACATTTTCAAACTCTCGCAAGGCGAATACGTCGCTGTAGAGAACTTGGAAAACATCTACGGCCAATGCCCGACCTTCGATTCGGTTAGTTGCCATGCGAGCATCGAGATTGCCAATATTAACTGCTGATCTTTCGATCCAGATATGGATATATGGGAACAGCTTCGAATCTTTCTTGGTCGCCGTTGTTATCCCGAACGAGGCAGCGCTCGATGCTTGGGCCAAGGAAAACGATGTCAAGGGAGACGACCTCTACACTTCTCCCAAGGCAAAAGCGTTCATCATGGATGAGCTAAGCCGCACTGCCAAGAACAACAAGGTAGCGTCATCTTCGCATTTTCTTTTCATGTTGTTTCCTTGCGTTAATCAATCTTATCTTGTATTCTCTTTCTTGCAGTTGAAAGGCTTTGAGTTCATCAAGGCAGTTCACCTCGAGAAGCTCCCATTCGACACTGAGAGGGATTTGATCACGCCAACCTTCAAGAAGAAGCGGCCGCAGCTTCTCAACTTCTACAGGGTCAGTTTTGTTCGCTCTCACATTGCATTATTTGCTGCTGCAAGATGTATGGATCGATCAAATCGTGACGAGAGATTTTTCTTGTGTGACAGGAAACGATCGATGAGCTCTACAGGGGTCTCAAGAAATAGCGTGCAAATGGTTGGGCTAAAATCCAAGAAAAATATCTCAAAAAAAAAAAAGGGCTCCACGTTGGCGACAGTTCAGCTTGTCACGCTCACTTCTAACCGTGGGCATCCGACGTGTGGCTACAGCCCTGCCACGTGGATGATATTGTGTATCCGACGTGGCAGTGGCGCCCCCAAGCTTTTCGAAATTTCAAGTCGAATATTCCACTAGGGCTCTTACATTCCATCATGGGTAGCAGCTGAGTGAGAGACGCAAGAGGAGAGGGACTAGAAAGGCGAGGAGAGGGGAAAGATCTAGCGAGGGGAAAGATCTAGCGGGGGTGTGGAGGATCGATCGGAATGGGGAGCGAGGCGGCGGCGATCGCCGTGCCGGATGGGCCGCCCACGCCCACGCCCAAGAGGGTTCCCCTGCGGGGATTAGCTCGCGTAGCATCAGTAGCGCTGGGCGTCCAGTTCGGCTGGGCTCTCCAGACATCGCTGCTGACGCCCTACGTCCAGGAGCTGGGGATTCCTCACGAGTACGCCGGCTACATCTGGCTGTGCGGCCCAATCTCGGGGATGTTCGTCCAGCCCATCGCCGGCTACTACAGCGATCGATGCCAGCTGAAATGGGGGAGGCGTCGGCCATTCATCCTCGGCGGCGCGATCTTCGTGGTGCTGGCCATCTTCGTCATTTGCTTCGCGGCCGATCTGGGTTTCTTGCTGGGCGATAACAAGCACCATCGCCCTCGCGCGATTGTGTTCTTCGTGATTGGCTTCTGGCTCCTCGATCTGGCCAACAACACGCTCCAGGGGCCGTGCCGGGCTCTCCTGGCCGATCTATCGGGTAAGCAAAAGGATACGTAGATCCAAGGCTTTTTTTACGCTCGTCCACATCCTAGAACAGAGCATAACTCTTCCACACTCGCAGGGAAGGACTACCGCAGGACGAGACGAGCGAACGCTTTCTTCTCGCTCTTTCTCTCCATCGGCAATGTGCTGGGATACGCTGCCGGTTCTTACTCCAACTGGCCAAAGGTATTCCCCTTCACGAGATCCGAGGCTTGCGACAAGTCCTGCGCGAATCTCAAGTCGGCTTTCATCATTGACGTGCTGCTCTTGGTGATCACCACAGTTCTGAGCATCACCGCAGCCGACGAGGTCCCCTGGTCGCCACTATCCTCCAATTCTCGAGCACCACTCTTGCAAGATCCGGCTCACGCTAGCTCCGTCAACGGAGAACAGGGTGAGCAGGGCGCAGAGGAGGAGGGGGAGCCTCCACTCGAGAAGAACGAGGCCTTCTTCTGGGAGCTGATTGGAACTGTCCGCCACTTGCCGAGAGAAATGTGGTGTATCCTGCTCGTCACTGCCATGACTTGGATCTCGTGGTATCCCTTCTGGCTCTTCAACACCGACTGGATGGGGAGAGAGGTCTTCAAAGGCGAGCCGAGCTCCAAGACGGCGAAGCAGTATGACAGGGGAGTCCGACTTGGATCCTTCGGCCTCATGCTCAACTCCATTGTCCTGGGCCTGGCCTCGGTGGTGATGGAGCCCCTGTGCCGGAAGTTCAAAGCCAAGAACGTCTGGTCCATCGCCAACTTCATCATGGCTGCCTGCTTCTCCACCGCGGTTGCTGTCTCGATCGTCATGAAGAACGCCCCTGTTGGCCGGCCATCGCTGGGAGTCCAGATTGCTTCGCTGCTCTTCTTCACTGTGCTGGGAGCTCCTCTCGCGGTGAGTGAAGGCTCTTGCTTGTCCTTTTGGGAAGTCGCTCACCTCTTTCCTTGGCCGCCAGGTGACTTACAGCATTCCCTTTGCGCTCACGGCAGCGGTGGCCGGTTCCTCCGGTGGGGGTCAAGGTACGTGATCATCCAACTTGTCACGTCTTTGTTTGATCGAATGCATTCCTTGCGAGACGTAAATTTTCCATTCGATGCACGCAGGCTTGTACGTTGGAGTACTCAATCTAGCTATTGTGATCCCACAGGTCAGTCCGTATGCCGAAAGCAAAAGAAAATAAAAAAGTGCCACAAACCTCGTGCTAATTTCTCTTGTCTGTGTGTTCTCGCAGTTCCTCACTTCGATTTTCATTGGTCCCTGGGATACGCTGTTTGGAGGTGGTGACATGCCGGCATTCACTCTGTCCGCCGTGGTAGCGCTCCTAAGTTCATTGATAGCGCCTTACATTCTTCCAAAGCCTCCGGCGGAGCTACGCAGCTCCAAGCTGAGACGTACCATCAGCGCCCCCATACCGTAAGAGAGAGGGATCGATTTGGCTTTCCGTTCTCTCTTCCTTTCTTCCGCGTTCGTTCGTTGTGTCCATATACTCGTTCCTTTACGTGGATGGCCTGGCCACTGGCTTGCTTGTTCGTCGTTTATAAAGAATGAAAAAGTCGGCGGCCCGATTGATTGCCGGTCCACTTGCTCAAGTGAAACAAAAGTGCGCCAGTCCAAAGATGTATACATGTACTCGTTGATAGGCTTGTCCAGGTCGGCGAATCGTTGAGCATTTGTGACAAAGATGCAAAGATCCATCAGCAGGAAAAGGAGCATGGAATTCACCTGTGGAGTAAAAAAAGAAAAAGAAAGGGAGGGAAGATCATCAATACAAATCGAGCAACAGTGTATGCAGAAGAAGAGAAAGGAGAACTTGCCACCTTGTGCGAGCGTCAGAGTCAAAAGAGACGATGCGACTGGGCAAGCTCTCGTTGCCAAACATGAGGGAGAGTGTCGCGAGCGGATCTTTCATGGATCCTCCTGGCCAAATCCAGGAATCTTGTGCAAAACGAGCTAGCATGGGCATTGCGTCACGAAGGCAATGCTTTCCACGCTCTTTTCTGCCACTTCTTTGCCTAGATACTCCATCACCGCTTCTGCGCCGCACTGTTTGGAGAAAGTAAAAAATCTTAAAGTCTAAAAAACACGCATTTTTAATCACCTGATGGACAAGCTAACTGTAAAGCGCCGCTGGCACGTTGGGGACAAGCCGCCCGATGAGAACGATTCGTCCATCTTCCACAGGAAAAATCTTTGGCGATTTGCTTGGTTCCGGCCTCGCTGGAGGCAAGGCTGTATCCAGAAAAACATGAGAAGAGCCGGGCAAAGACAAACCTGGGCCATGTTTTAAACAGATTTTTCCAAGTACCTGGAGTAGACTGTTCATGAACAAAATCCACGCTACAGATCCGCAAGAAACCACTGCTTCAAAATTTAAAAAAAATGTTAGCTTCAAGTCTATGAATGCCATAGCTGGAAAGTCTTGAGAGAAATAAATACCAGTGCCAAGGAAAAAGCCACCACCACCAGAAACGAAGTTAAACTGGAAAATCTCCGTGGCACAGATATCCATCTCCCTTACATCTGTCCAAAAAGAAAGTCGCTGGAAGCTTAAGCCAATGTAGGTTAAACGAAGCATCACATCGTCTCTCACCTCGGATTTGGCGCATTCGCGGAGCGATAACTTCCCACGCATAGGCAGATGACAGCGCTGGTATGCACGCGAGATCAATGCCACGCATAGAGTTACATTCTAGCGTGTACCTCTTCGAGACCCTCCAAGAATTCGCGCATTGCGAGCGCGCTTAGCATGGAGCTCGAGCGAGAAAGGAATGCCGTGCCGCTGGGCCGCTGCGATCGCTCCCACCGAGAAGCCCTTAGGGAGGAATCTAGGGCTCCTGGGAATGGAAATGGACCAATTGCGTTGCAGGGCGGGAATAACTTTAAAAACATAACCGATAAAACCCCCATCATCATTTCTATAGGTAGGGCTAGCCGCTATTTCGAAAGGTCGGCGATTCCAGCGGCGCGCGGCTAGGGATCGCGATTTCCAGCGGGATTCTAGTGCGGCATCGCTGGAGGTAGGACCTTTTTCCTTCGATCGGCTCGGCAGCGAAAGAAAGAGGGAGTGGCGGCGATGGAGCTCGCTTGCGAGAATGGGAGGTGTCTGGTTTGCAAGACGGAGCCGCCGGAGCAAGAAACCCTGCCTTGCGGGAGCTGCGGGTGTGTGTGGCACTTGCCATGCTTGAAGGCGCCGATGACCTTGGCGGATGTTTCTCCGGGCTGGACGTGCCCGGATTGCTCGGATGATCCGGCCAGCAACAGCAAGAAGCCGGGGCCGAGCGGTGGAGAGAACGAGCTGCTGAGAAAGATCCGGGAGATAAATGCCGATACTTCTCTCTCAGATGCGCAGAAGGCAGCGCAGCGGCAGATGTTACTGAGCAATGGGGCTGTTCCTGCCGGCAAGGAGGACGATGAGGACGAGCTCATTTGCGTGTTTTGCCAGGGTTCGCTCGATCGCCCAGTGACGGTATGTGCAAGCTTTTTCTTTCTTCTTCGCTCTTTCTTTTCGTAAGCTACAAAGACTAAGTTTTGCTTCTCCTTTTTTCTTTTCTGTAGACTCCATGCGGCCACAACTTCTGTTTAAAGTGTCTCCAGAAGTGGTTTGCTCAGGGACAGAAGAAATGCGGCAAATGCCGCGTGAGCTTCCATCAAGGCTTTATACAGCAGCCCAAGATCAACCCCCTACTCGTACAAGCCATTCGAATGGCAAAGATTGGAGCTACTGCGCCAGCTTCCAAGGCCGTTCACGTTCTTCAAAACCAGAACCGACCCGACAAGGCTTTCAAGAGCGAGAGAGCGAAGAAAGCCGGGTTGGCGAACGCGTCGAGTGGCAGGATCTTCGTCACAGTAGGCCACTACCACTTTGGGGCAATTCCAGCGGAGAATGATCCCGAGCGGAACCAGGGTGTCTTGGTTGGCGAAACTTGGACCGATAGGCTGGAATGTAGGCAGTGGGGCGCTCACAGGCCTCACATCGCTGGAATCGCCGGGCAGAGCGACAAAGGTGCCCAATCAGTAGTCATGTCTGGTGGCTACGAGGACGACGAGGACCATGGAGAGTGGTTTCTTTACACTGGAAGGTGAGATTGATCTTAATATCTGCATTCGCATTTTTGTTGACATTTCCATTTTCGTTGCAGTGGTGGTCGAGATTTGAGTGGGAACAAAAGAACCAATGATCAGTCTTTCGATCAGGTTTTTTCGAAATCAAATAAAGCTCTGTCGGTGAGCTGTTTGAAAGGCTATCCAGTGCGTGTTGTGCGGTGAGATTTTCTTTCTTTTCTGCACCATCTGAAATGTGTTTGTCCAGGTCGGCCAAAGACGTTCGTTCTGCTTACGCACCTCAAGAAGGCTTGAGGTACGATGGACTGTACAGAATTGAGAGATGCTGGCGAAAGATTGGTCTTAAGGTAAGAATTCTGTTCACTGTAATCTTTGCTAAGTCGTGCATCAGGGGTTTCGCGTGTGCCGATACTTGTTCGTCAGGTGTGACAACGAACCGGCACCCTGGACAAGGTGTGTGTGTGTGTAAATCTACAGTGAATTTTCTCTGAAACTTTTGGTGGTTAGTGAGGACTACGGTGATCGGCCACGTCCACTTCCAGAGATTACAGAGCTTAAAGATGCAACGGACGTCAAAGAAAGGAAGACGCAACTGCCGTCTTGGGACTGGAAGGTGGAGAATGCTTTATTTGCTTTCAGTATGCTCTTGACAATGGCAGGTTTAGGAGGATGAGAACGTCTGGGGTTGGATTAAGCCGCCTCCAAGTTTCAGGGACGTTAATCCTTCATCTGCCCGGAAGAGAAGTGTCTCTTCGAAGGAGAAGGAGCTTAAGACCAGTACGTGTTCATCTCCACTTGTTTAAATCATAGTACTTACGACAATGTTTTATAGAATTTGGATGTGGGCTTTGCAAAAACGTATTGCAACGTCCGCTTTGCGCTCCTTGTGGGCACAACTTTTGTCAGGCCTGTTTGGTTGGTCATTTCGCTGGTCACAAGGACGTTCGAGACAGGGCAAATGGCCGACGATCCCTCAGAGTTCGAAAGAACCAGAAGCCGTGTCCTCAGTGCAACAAGGACATCGCTGATTTCCTGGAAGCCCCCGCAGTAAGTTTTGTTTATATCGGACGCTGGTGGAAGTTTTTGAAGTATGCTTCATCAGGTCAACAACGATATGGATGATGTCATCCAAAAGCTGAAAGCTGCCATAGCCGACCTTATGAAGACGGAAGAGGAAAATCGCGATGCCGACGCTGAAGATGGTGACGATGATGATGACGAAGCCGAAGAAGCCAAAGAGGCTGATAACGAAGTCGAAGAAGCCAAAGAGGCTGGTGACGAAGTCGAAGAAGCCAAAGAGGCTGGTGACGAAGTCGAAGAAGCCAAAGAAGCCAATGTAGAGCAGAAAGACGACAAGCTCGGGGATCGTTTTGGACGCTTGGTATGATTTGGCTTTTCATTTTTGTGGAAATGCTGAAGTCTGGTATTGCAGGACACGAGTGTTACGGTGGACAAGGACATTGCAGTTGACACCACTGCAAAGGAAGAAGCTTCGATGGCCAAAGAAGCAGAGAAAAAAGCTAAGGTGAAGCTGTCTTCTTTTCTTATGAGAAGCTCTCACGAAACGTTTTGTCAATGACAGGATCGTCGTGTGAAAAATGGCAAGAGAAGCGCTGTGGGGAGCTCCAGCATTGCAAAGAGAACGAGAGGAAGCAAGGTCGCTGCCGCTGAAGCAAAACAGATGGATCCGGTCGTCATTGTTTTGGACGATGACTAGCGATTAATCGTTTTGGACCAACCATTGGGATCAATCCATAGACCGGCCCAAGGGTCACTTTATGTACTGTAGCAGCTTCGTTACGGTTCGAACCTTCATGTCTTACATTTCTTTTGAGAATTCTCTTCTTCGATGAAAGAGTTCTTGGCAGCGAGCAATCGGCGCTTGGTATTTGGCTGCTCTGTGCATAAGACTCCGGACGAGCACCGGCAAGCACTCGAAGTTGTGCATCGCAGTCTTCGGGTATGATCAAAAACAAATCTCTCATACTACTCAACTTGTTTTCTTTGTCTAGCTATGGACGTCTAGGTTGGGAATGGAGTGACGTGGTTCATGGTAAGCTCGATCAAACTTGAGCTTTCGTTTGCGAGAGAGTTTTAATCCTTCTAGCTTGATCATGAATACCATGTTCGACGTGGTCGCCAAGGCTTTTCCAGTGTCTCATGGCCGCAGCCGGTGATGTTTACTTGTGGAAGTTCGCTCGTCGAGCATTTGGTGACCGTGTTGCAAAGTGGACAGTAAGTAATCCATCTGAAAAAAATGAGAGGAAAGCTCATAAACTATTTTATGCAGATGTTTTGCCAGCTCGTCAACTGGTTCACCTTCCTTTTCGCACTCATCCAGTAGCATCGAGACTGTCCTGACGACGATTGCTCGCTACTGGTCTTCTCCAATGGGATTTATGTTGAATCGTGAGCTAGATATTTGGGCATGGGGCTGGCTCTACGTGGGGACTTACGCCGTGGTATCTTCTCCATGAAGTTCTTCCTATCGGGTAAGCAAAGAGAGGAACGCGTGCTCCGAAAGCGGTGTGTCGTGACTTTCCTTTTGGACAGGATCATCCGCGGTAGCCATCCCTGGCACTGGTCCTTTTTTCCAGCTATGCCAACAGGTACTTGGTGGCGCAACTTTTCTAGTCATGGTGTTTTTGCAGGTTTGCCTTGCCGGCTCTTCCTCTGGGTTTTCTGGACACAGCCTTGCCTCCAGCCGAGCTTTCAACCAACGACTCCAGAATTTCAAAAGTCGCCAAAGCAAAATCCGGTGGTTACTGTCATTCCCATCGCAGCTGCGCTTTCGATCAGGTGAATGAAAGCTGCTTTTTTGTAGACTTTCTGATGCAATTCCATTCTACTCGTCGCTGCACAGTGATTGTCAATGAGATTCTTAGATTGCTCTCCAAGCATTTCCCTGTTGACCGAGAACGCAACGAACGAACACGATGTTCTCAATACGCTGACAAAGAAACAGCGCTCCACCACCTCTGGACTGCCAGTTTGCTCAAAGTCGATCAGAGGCACACTCTGCGCTGGGAGGCGTTTCCAGCATGGCTGAGCTGCTGAGGTCCGAGTTTCCAAGCAATGCCAGAACGACAACAGGAGGAGGTGGACTCGTTGCTGGCGTGTTAAAGAAACAGTACGCATCGATGACTCCGCTGCGCACACTCTCCTGTGACGAGAGTGAGATCAAAGCAATCAATCAGTCAGTAGATACCTTTGGGATCCTAGAAGTGACCAAGGCCATACTCGACACGGACAAGGAGCTCGCGCGCCAGCGCCTGACCAAAGTGCGTGATGCAAGACTGGAGCAAGAGCTCTCTTGCGGCTGCCTTGTCGGTGGCGTGTCGTAGCAGCCGCGATTGCAAGCCAAGGCACGAGTTGAAGCCGCCGGTGCAGCCATACCGGAGCACGGCCTCCATGACCACCTCCGCCGTGGGAACTCGGACGTAGACGCAAGGCCGGCCTCCAGTGTAGTAGTGCCGCGCAAACCCGGACCGGACCACTTGCTTGTCTTCGGAGCTGAAATCGTTATGGAGCACAAACTCTTCCATCAAACACATCCGCTCCACGTCGTCCCTCTGGATCCATTTGCCAAAGCCTGGGTAAGGATACAGCACCGGGATCTTCGTCTCAAGCTCGCACTTCCGGCACTTGCAAACGATGATGTCCTCGGGCCTCGACGGCCAGATGAGTGACGTGAGCCTGCTCTTGAGACTCCCGCCATAGTAGCTCACCAGGAGCTCCTCGCCCGCCTTGAGATCCCTGGCAGCTCTGCAGAAGAGGGTAGTCCCGACGACCCGGAGCGTGACGCTCGGTATGCAACTGTGGTTGATGAGCGTCAACAGCGGCCACAAGACGTTGTCCGGGCACACGGACTTGTGCCCGGCAGCCATGTAAGCGTCCACCACCCTCTCCAGCCCTGCTGCCTCTTCGTGGCCATCATCATCATCCAGGTAGTCTTCCAGGTTCCCAGAGGGATGGAGCAAGCTCACGGGGAGGGAGGCCGCGGCGCTGTTCCCGCCTGGAAGATACTGAAGTAGTTCCGCCACCCTTGGCATCTTTGCTTTCTCGAGGACGGCCTGCTTGAGTGATGCTCCGCCCCTGGCAATCGCGATCGGCTTGGTGGCGAAGATGAGATCTCCGGCTTCCAGATCTTTGGTCGCGAACAAGCCCCGGCCATGGAGTGTGGAGGGCGCGCACTGGAACTCGCCCAGGAACTCCGCCATTGGTGGCACCGGAATCTCGGAGAACACAAAGGCGCCGTCCGACACCCCGCCGGCTCGTGCACTCTCGGTCCGGAACGCGGCGCTGGAGAAGTAGGCGCGCAGCGGCTGATCGAAGTCGCCGGTGGTGGACTGTGCCTTGAGCTGCTCCGCGACGGCGAGGAGCTCCACCATTTCGTGGCTGGAGCTGTCCGTGGCCTCCATTCCCGTGCTCAGGGTAGCGCATGCATGCTCGTACTCGCCCAGGCCGATGAGGGATCGCGCCGTGCCAAGAATTGCCTCGATGCTCCACGGATCGATGGCGAGGATGGCAAATGACGCCCTCAGCGCCTCGCAGTATCGCTCCTCCCGAAGCAATCCATCTGCGGCGCAACAGCCAGCCAGCAAATGCAATCCAATCCAATCACTAGCCGCTTACCGATCGCCATTTCGTGAAGGATCGCGCTCGATCACTGGCCGCGCCCTCGCGTTGCGCTCGATCAATGGCGGCGGCCTCGTGCTGCGCTCGATCGTGGCCCAAAATCGTTTTGAGCCAGCGTGTTTTCTTGTATCGGGCACGTATATGAGACCGTCTCTCATACAATATACACATGGAATACATAGTAGAGATGTATTTTACTAATAGACTAAGCCCTAGCTCTGTCCGTACCTTTTTGGCGATCCGTACGCTCACAAAATCACGACCCTTTATAATCGAGTTTTGCCAGCCCTTAACTTTCCTAGGATGGAGTGTAACTGGCTGATCAAACACGCGCCCATCACGCTGCCAGCCAAGAGGGTGTCCGGGATCTGCAAAGCACACTCGCGGAACGAAGGCCTCACACCCAACCCGGATGTTCTTCGTGACCTTCGACAGGGAAAGGTGGGAAAAATCTTTCTTGTTTTCCTTTTTCTTTCATATTTGTCATTTCTTTCTCCTTCTTAAAAAGGCTTTTGCTATTCCATTTGCAGCCGATTTTCGTTCTTGATGAGCATGGAAGGCTTCTGGTTGCAGCCGCTTCACTGGTTACTGAGGAGAACCTGCGTGATTTCGCCAATCACACGAACAACAACATGTTTATGGTGGCCATGCGAGGCCAAGACTTCGACAGGCTTGGAATAATAAGAGGAGGCTGGCCGTATGTAATGAAGGCGAGACCGTCATCCGGCACTCGTCTGGGTAGAATGGCGGAAACTATCCGGGCTCTTGGAACCCTGCCTGTCGACAGGCACTTGTTCAAGATCACAGACGAGGGTATACTTCCAGTGCGTTGCAGCAATGACAGCGAAAACCCATTTTGGTATCCTGATCCCAACTCTTGCAGTAGCTCGGATGTTACTGTGGATCTTGTGGCTTCGGCAGGATTGCCACCGGTTGCACTGTTAGTAGATTGTTTGGGTTTAGGGCTTACTTCATCGTAAAGTAATCTAATTATATCATTCAAAGTTTTAAAATATTTCTTATCTAGCGGGTTGTGATTTTCTTGTACTTCTGGATGAAATAAAGAAAACCACTAATAGCTATAGCTCTAGTGGCAAAAAGAAAAGCTTACCGGAATCGTGAAAAAGCACACGTGTAGACGTGAAAATGTTTTAGGGCAAACGGTTATATGGTCACTTTCGTACGCGTATTTGGGCCGCTCGGTACGGACAGAGGAGCGAGCCCAGCTCGAGCGGGAGGGCGGTAAGGCGCATTTCTTGATCCCGGCAAGAGATGTCTATCGGTTAGTGAAGATCTTGCAAGCCTCCGTGGAAATTCATGGGCTTCTTTCTGTTTCGCTCGCCATTGCTTGCGAGGACTTTCTTGCAGATGCGCTGATCCGAGAGGGGAAGTACTGCGAGGCGTTGCAAGCTGCGCTCGCGATCCTCGCCATGGATCCCTGGAGCGTTCCAGCGATCATCGGGAAAGCAAAATCCTTGCTCGGACTGGGGGAGTACGAGCTTGCATTCTCTACCCTGAGCGCGGGAGTGGAGATCACGCAGAGCTCCAGCAGCGACATGATCGAGCTCCTCGGCGTTGCGGAGGAGCTCAAGACACAGGCGATCACCGGCAACTACGATCGGCCTCTCCTTGCGTACTTCTCCAGCGGTGCATTCATGACCCAAGATGGGAGCTTGGGCAGGATCACGCTGTGGCCGATTCCATGCCCAGGCTACAACATGCTTCTCTCCACTGCCGGTGTGCCACAGATGGCGGATTTCTTCGGGGATTTCCAGTGCCAAGCATCCGAGCTTCATGGCCGGGGACTGTTCGCTACCAAAGCCTTGAAAGCGGGCGATCTCATCTTTGCCACCAGGCCGCTGGCGATGGAGGACTATTTCAACGATCTCTCGCTCAAGCAGGACATCCTCAACAAGGTCAGCGACCTTTCCAGGGTGGCCGAGCTCCTCCACTACCTGGATGGAGCGAGCAGGAGCTCGGCTCCTCCTCCAAACAGCTTGCTCGTCCCTTCCGGAGACATGGAGGACTACATGGGCGATCTCTCCACTGCCGTGGATCCGGAGCTGGAGAGCCGGGTGGAAGCCGTGGTGCGCGCCTACACAGAACGAGGCCATCCAAGCTTGTCCCCGCGCAACGTGCTCTGGCCGCTCCTCACACTGATCAACCATTGCTGCGTGCCGACGATCACCCTCCGGGTTGTGGGATTCACGCTCTTCTGCCGCGCGGCTCGCGATCTCAAGCCCGGCGAGGAGCTGCTCTCGAGCTACGGTGACGGCCCACTTCGCAGCCGAGTCTCGTGCCTCAGACATCTCGGCAACGAGGAGAGCACCTTTGACTGCCAATGCGTTAAGTGTACGCTTGAGGCCAAGATTCTTCCACAGCCGCAGCAAGACGCCAGCGAGATCAATGTCCGTGAAGTCGAGGAGTCTCTACGACGCAGCCGCGAGTTGAGCGTCGAGAACAGGCAGATCATCCGGTCTGCCTATGGATTCTTATACTACAAGGAGGGGATCCAGTCAGTTCTCCCGGACGCCGAGGTGATCATGGACGCCGTGCATCGTTATGCCAACAGCAAGCTCGTGTTTCACTCGTGCTTGCGCTTGCAGTCACAGCTGCTTCGCGGCGCCAAGAACAGGGAAGCTGGGAGGGAGATTCTACTCAAGTCGTGTGTCTCACACTTTGGTGTGTCTCTTGCGCAGGAGCTCGTAGTCCGAGTGGAGCATGGTGCCGGTGCCTTCTAGATCGTCGCCACGCTATAGCTTACGTATGTAAATAGGCCTGCCTGGGAGGGAGTGGCCTCCTTTTTCAGCTGAAAGTTTTGTCACTGAATCTTGTGATAAGATGACAAGCAAGCAAGCATTGTCACCAGGGCTTCTTATAGAGTGGCTCCGATGGCGAGCTAGTGAGGGCAGCACTGTGTTCAGATGCTCGACTTTACGTATGACGAGGCCCGGCAGAGTTGCTCGACGGGAACCTAGTGCACACGGGGAGACGAGGTAAGGTGAAATGCCATGATCTTCCAGTGATGGCTGATAAGTTGACGGTGGTGTCCATGCTTTGCGCAAGCAAGGGAGTCAAGGTTCTCTAGGCGGTGCTTGCGGAAGCACAAGGTGGCGAGGCGACACTACAAAGCGCCGGTGGTGGTCGGAGTACCGAGACGAGTAGTCGTGGCTCTGCAGAAGGCAATCCCTGGTCATGACGATTGTCCAGCAGGAGAGACGCCAAATAACTCATGATTCCCAATATATCTCTCATGTATCTCTCGTAGACGGTGGCTTGTCATGAAGAGCACGAGTCAGTTCCAAGCATGGACATGGTGTACTTGGGCGCCTCTAAATCCTGTGCCTTGTCACTCGGAACCATGGAAGAGAACAAGAAATCACACTTCGCTTGGCTGGACGCAGATTGTGAGACGAAGGCAATGTCACCACTCTCTCTATGGATATACAAGAATGCGATCTGGTACTTTGGAAAAACCATGGATTGATATCAAAAAGTAGTGAATGAAATAGAAAGTGTAAGAATTTTTGTGTAGGATGCTCTGACCCGCAGCCTTTTATGGTTCCCCATGTTTGACTGGCTTCGCAATGTAGATTCCTCTTTTAACATTGAGACGAAGTCACAAATTATTCTCTACCTTGCTTAGTAAGAAGCTGAGTTTCTTGTGTAAATGATAAAAAAAAGTATAGATAAGAAAATTTTAACTTAAACTAAATCTAAAATGTTTTTTATATTAATTAAGCTTTCTGTTTCTGTAAAAGCAAAATAAATAAATATAAATATAGAATTTCCATATTTAATCACATATAAACTATTTAAAGGTTGTTTTGCAAGTCTTTACTAGATGATCTCTTCTTGCTTGCACCAGCTCCTTGTAGTCTTGCATGTCAAGGTCCACCTCTTCTAAGTGCCTCTCAACAGTGGCAAGCTTCTCCCTTCTCCCTGGCAATGGATCCAGCATTCAAATGTGGGAAGCCTCGTCTTTAAATTGCAAATTCACTTTCTGAGCAATTTGAGTTAATACAAAATGACCCCAGGGCCTGTCACACTCAAATCGTTAAAAAGCTTCACCAATATAGAAACTCCTGAAATTCTTGTTGCTCATGCAAGTGAACCCAAAAGAAAGTCAAATTGGCTTGTGAGACTAGGCTCCCTACACCTCCTACAAAATTCAACAAAGACATTTGTCAGACTGCCACTAACATCCACTACTAGAGAAAATTGTTTAGAAAATATAGAGAGCCAGACAACCCAAGTCTATCACAAAACATGCATCTCTTGGGGTGGAAGTCTGCACAATAAGCATTGATATCATAGAAATAGAAACAGATGAAAAAATCCTTGGAGTTTTTAAACTTGATAACTGCCCCCTCACAAGCTAAACATAAAGACTGGCTACATTGTAATTCTCCTAAGTAATGCTCCAACTAGAAATAGGGCTCATGAAGCAACTTTTGTACAACAACTTGCTGGATGCTTTCTTGTGAGCTATTGCTCCAAGGAATGTCAAATTAAAGAGAACTGGTTGGAGCACAAAAAGTTTTGCAAGTTTGGGGAAGTGTGCTAGGGAAGTGTGCATGCACAAGGTCTGTAGTCACGATGAGCAGCCTCTAGAAGAGTTGAGCTTTTGTTTTGCAGCTGCAACAGATCCTAAAGGATCTGTTGTAGAAACAGATCTGAATGAATAACAGATCTTCACAATGTTGTAGAAACACTGTACCAACTCCAAGATTCTTTACCAAAACATAATCAAAGCTGAAATCTTATACAATGATATCCAAAGCAAAAGAGTCCTATCTAGGATCTCTTTGAAACCAATGGATTGAGACATGCTATTCATTCTAAAAAGGTGCCAATTTCCTATAAAGCTTGCATTTTCTGTAAATCACAATATGTAAATCCTAAAAATAAACACTGCAAAACATTAACATCTTACTGCTAAGATTAATTTTCGGCCATGGTCAAGTTTTCTGTTACTTTCTTTTGAAGGGAACATAAAAAAATTGAATTTTAATCTTTATAGAAGATTGCAAGGGACAGGGTTGCTGCAAAACAGAATCATTAACCCAAAAACCATTGGCTACAAATAGAATTATATCACCAACCAACAATTTTCGTATCTATTCCAGCAGAGCTGGATTGCTTGCTACTTCTCTATTTATTCTACTCTGCCAGTTTCAATACTATTTTTGTAGTGACATCATCTATCTACTTGCTGAACTACAGACGAGACCAAGGCTTAAACTGCATCCATGTTCATCGCAACTCTACCTCTTCGTCACTACTTACCTTCTTCCACTTCTGCTTCTGTTCATCGCTACTTGAAGATGCTTTCCGCATCAGCTTCTTTCTCTTCGGCTTCTCTTCGCTATCACATTTTGGTCCTGGCTTGCGCCGTGAGCGTAGCTGTGAGAACGGCCCCTCAAGTATGGCACAACTGCCTCCCAGGACCGCCAGTCCTCCATAACCCCTGCGTCCAATATTGACTTCACGATTCTCTCTTTAGTTCCAGTTATCCATATCTGATGCTTCTGCGCCTTCGCCTGCAGGAATGCCTTCTTGCATTCATTGACCCACTTCAGCACGGCAGGGTCCATTTTAGACCGCCTCTCCTTCTTGGACTGCTTTCTCTTCTCTTCCAGCTCCTCTAGCAACTTGCAATCTTCTTCCGTGATACCATCGGCGAAGGACTCCAAGAAAGTCGAAACATGCAGCCAGTGCTCCATAGCCTCTGCCTCTTTGTCCAGGGGGTTCAAATCAACCTTCATCGGGCTGAAGAAGGAATAATGCACCCGAACTTCGTCCTCGCTCACGTCCGGTAGCCACATTCAAACGTATGACTTCTTCACAAACTTCTGTTCTGTCTTTCGATGGTCCTCAGGGTTCATGGTTATCTGCCCAGCAATTATATGGACGACGCCTTCAGACTTGAACACCACCACGAAATCGGTGTACTTGAAGAAATAACTATCCGGAAGTTGACCGTCCCGAAAGCCCTTAGTCTGCACCTGCTTCGGCTCTGCTCCCTCAAAAGGTTCCCTGGTGAATTCTCTCGGAACCTCGAAGTCCCCTAGCTTCATGCCTTTCTTACAAATCACTTCACCGATAAAATTTTCAATCAGCCAGCCCAGCCCAGCCCAGTACATACGCCTCAACATCTGCCAGCCTTTGACGTGCGTAAGCCGTCAAGGCTTTGTTCCGATAGGATCTGTAGACATCAAGTGCCTGTTAACCTCCTCTGTATGGATCCTTGCGATAAAAGGGGTGCAGAACTCCGTCGCCACCGTAAACGCCGGGAAAAGAACAGCCAGTTCCGTATATGGTAACAGCGGGTCCAAATTCGCCATGTTCATGCGTATCGAATTCTTTAAATCTTGAAATTCCGGATCCTGTTTGTAGCGCCGCACAAGCATCTTCCAGTCTAACTTCTGCAGGACAGAACGTTAAGGCCCTAGTTACAATAATTCACACGGTGCACTTACATGGCAGTACTCCTCAATGGGATCAGGAGGAACAGCGGCAGAAGAATCAGCGGCAGAAGGATCAGTGGTGGCAGAAGGATCAGCGGCAAGCTCGGGATGCTGTTGTGGTTCCACGCAGAGATCATATATCTCGCGAAATCCATCGTACTCTTCGTCAGCACCTGCGGCGTAACCTGTCAGGCTGTTGCAGTGGTTAACAAGAATGGAGAGTGACAACGGGTGGCATGCACCAAGGTCCTCGACATCACCCCAGTGCTCAGGATAGTTCTCAAGAAACTTGCCAAGAACAGTTCCCGACAGGTACGCATCACGCTTTGCCTGTTTGACGAAGATAGTTAGCAAACTCCAATCTGAAGGCATCACATTACCTTCGTGAACATCTTGCTGATATTATATACTGTGGGACTACCTTGAAACCGAGATTGTTTCAATACTTCACTGTTGGGTGAAAGGGCCTTCACCACAACGCGTGCTTGCCCCCAAAGTTCGTCTGTCCATTTCTCGGCTGCCTTGCGCTTCTCTGCATCACTTCCGGTCGTCGGATCATGACGCTCTTCCCCATCAGTCAACAGGACGATCCTTTCGCCGAGCCGCCTCCGACTTTCCAGAAATGCCTTAGCATCTTCCGGTGTTTCTATGGAGGCTATGGCCTCCTCCGCCCCTTTCTCGTTGCAGAACGTGAATAGCAGCACGTCACGGATCTGTTCAGCAACGGGATGATCCACATTCAAGTACCAAATACACACTACTCTGGTGATAGGACATCCAGGTCGTGGCCGCTTGTTCGACATATCGTACAGTTTAATAAGCTCCCAAGCGAAGGCCCTCAATATGCTGCTTTTCTCCCCTCCCTTGGTACCTGTCAATATGAAAACGCCCCCCCTGCTATTCTTGAATAGAGGTTCCACAGCCTTCCTAAAACCGATGTACTCCCCCGTGCTGCAAAATTCGAACGAGGCCTCTTGATCTGGCACGAACCCTCCAAGCCCGGGAACGGAAGAAAAACCTTGGAGCCTCGATTCCACAACTGTGTAAAATCTACTTCACGAGCCCTCGCCACTCGCGCCTTATTCACCTTGCTCTCAAGCGGCTCATCCTCCATGTCTGCGCGGCGGCAATAAACTTTCAAGGAGCCCTAGTGAAATGTGGTTTTTAAATGTTAGCTTTAATCTTAAATATTTAGTTTAACTTTAACATTTACGGCTGACCGTTGACTAATTTGCTTGAACAAATTGAGCTACGTGTTTTTGGGTTTGCTTAAGTAAACATATATCGAAACTAGGATATATTTAAAATATATTTAAATATTCTAAAATATTCTACCATTTAGATTATAATTTATAGAAATGTTTATAATTATAAACTTTCCATTTGATTTAAGCAAATTATACTACATAACATGATTATGGACGGACCCTGGCTTTGAGAGCCAAATTGCAGAAATGGAGCAGGTCACGGTGCTGGAAACGCGGAGCCTCTTCGTCTCTCCCAGCGCAAGCTTCCATGCCGAATATGCCTCTGATCGATTTTGAGACGCCATTAGACTAGGGCTAGCAAACTGGAGTTTGAGGAAGTTGGCGGTGCCCACTTGCGCAACTGCGCGCCAGTCCAAGATCTGTACTCGCTCGCGGGAGTAGAGAAGCTTGCCAACTTGTAGGAGCGTGCTTCCAGAAATGGCCGGAGTTTGTCCTCCAAGGAGTAAAAAATGACGATGTGACTGGGCAAGCTCCCGTTGTCGAACATGACAGAGAGTGCTCGAGTGGATCTTCCATGAACCGTGAGGCCTCGTCTTTGCCACCATCGCTAAGAATCTCATTGGCAAATCCTTGTGCAGTGACGTGTAGAATGGAGTAGCATGGCATTGCGTCAGAAACGTAATGCTTACCACCCTTTGGTCTGCCGCTTCTTTGCCAAGGTACTCCATTCAGCCGCGCTGTTTGGACAAAAGTATAAACTTCATCGTCCAACGGATTTTGCTTTGACGATTTGCTTACTTCCGAACTCAATGGAGGCAAGGCTGTTCCCAGAAAAGAGCATCGCCAGAGGATGTGACGAACCTGAATGACTAGAAAAGTTAAGTTGCTCTTCATACATATGCTAACGGATACCTGAATTCTTTGTGCCCGAGCAGACTATACGTGAACAATATCCAAGCTACAAGACCCGCAAGAAACCACTGCCGCGACTACCAACATGTTAGCGGCAAGTGCGTGAATGCCATCGCTGGAAAGCCCTGGGTGAAATACCAGTGCCAGGGATGGCTACCGTCCCCCGAGAGGTAATTAAACAGGAAAAACCTCGGGGGCACAAATATCCATTTCCGTACATGATCCTGTCCAAAACGAAAGTCGCTCCAAGAATGCCACACCTGAAAGTTGGAAGCAAATGTAAGGGTTTTGAGCATGGAACACGCCTCCTTTGCTTATCCGATAGGAAGAACTTCATGGAGGAGATATCTGGATTTGTCACGGCATTCATAGAAAGAGCTAGCTGACAATTCGACATAAATCCCAAGTGCTTGTCGATAAGAGCGCAATCGTCGTCAGGACAGTCTCGATGGTGCTGGATAGAGTGCAAACCATGCAAAAGAAGGTGAGCCAGTTGACGAGCTGGCAAAACATCTGCATAATAAAGTTTGAGAATCGCAAGTTTTCCTCAGATGGTCCACTATGCAACAGGGTCACCAAATGCTCGACAAGCGAGCTTCCACAGGTAAACATCACCAGCTGCGGCAATGAGAGACTGGAAAAGCCTTGGCGACCTCCACTATCATGGAATCATTCATGAAAAAGCTAGAAGGCATTAGAACTTTCTCGAAAAAAGCTCAAGTTTTATCGAGCTTACCATGAACCAGTATCCAGCTTAAACACTGCCAACGTCGTAGCGCGCAGCAAAGATGAGCGGGTGTAGGTAGCTCCGAAGACCTTCGTTCCATTCCCAAGTGAGATGTCCATATCTAGACAAAGAAAAACAAGAATGTAGCATGAGAGATATGTGAAGACAAGATTTACCCGAAGACAATGCGGTGTGGGTGCTGTGCATCGCATTTTGGCTGTTTAATGCACTGCTCGTTCGCACGTACTACGAGCACTGGAGTTGCAACAAACCACGCTCTCGAGCGCGATCCCTCTTCAAAAACCCTAGAACAATTTCTTACAAGTTTGTGACTGCTATGTTTCAACTAAGATGGATGTAAAATGCCAACTCTAGGAAAGATAAATACGAATTGTATTGGAGATTGGGACTACGCAAGCTTATACATTGGCAATTGAATTGGAAATGCCAATAGCTGCGGCCTAGCAGGCGCTGACTTGCCTGTAGTGGCTGGGTCTGTGGTCCGGATACCTCACAAGATAGCCGTCACGCTTGAGAAGCAGCTGCTGGCTCAATCGAGCTGTTCTCCCAAACTCTCTGATGATCTTGGAATGGAGCAGCATGAACTTGCCATCCTCGAGCTCGACAACTGCGTTGAGCCATGGCGTTGGGATGTGGAAGTTCTTCTCTTCTGCACTGCCACTAGAGAGGAGTGGATGATGCCATACTTGGGACCTCTTTTGGATGCCGGTGGATGGAGATGCGCAGCTGCAACGGGAAGAGCCACTCCACCATGGGCCGAGTATGCACCGTTCCAGAGGATCATGAGGAAGCCAACTTGGCTGCACAACTTCGACTTTGACGGAAGGTCTTTGCAGCTCTTGTGTTCGTGCAAGTCCTCGAGGGTGAACCCGGAGAAGCCACGATACAGATTACGTGTCTCGGGATCTTCCTACCTTGGTGACTGTTGACTCGTCACATCCAAACAATGAGAGTTCGCCTGGCATTCTCTGCATTGGCCGTGAGCTCAGTCGCAACTGAATGTTCCACTGCCGTGCTGGATAAAAGGTTGGCAATGCTGTCCTCACTGTGGTTGTCCAGAAGAAACTCGTCCAGGCTAAAGAAACTGACCAAGCCGGGATACAAATTGTGTGCCATCTCCCCAAAACATCCCTCCTAAGAATCCACAGCAGCATCGTCAGAGCTGACGAGATCAGAGAAGACATGGCCATTCGAGACGACGTTGTAGTGCACGCCTGGAACGTGATGGGATCCGCAACAATATTCATGGAATGGATGGCCGGGCACTTTCCCAGAGTCTTGTTGGGATTGCATGACTTAGACTGGAAATGCCGGCAAGACAAACTCCAATGGAACATTCCTTGTGAAGGCTATATGTATAAGGTCCAGTTGTATAGCTATGATGCTATATACTATTATGTGGTACCTCATTTGTCCACAAATCTCTACTTCACCCCATTAGTGAACCATTGATCGTGCTTTGGAAAGTGGATGTAATTCTTCTCAATGATGTCCACAACCTTGGAAGGTGATGGTCGTCCACCTCTTGAGGTGTGTGTGAGGTGAAGGACTCCAAAAGGCAATCTCTGTTCATGACGCCGTTGTCCAGCAGCAGAGAGGCCAGATAGCTCATGCTCTAGCTATCCTCCTCCTGGAGACTGGGATGAAAACCACGCCCTCAAACCCATTCCCAATGTATCTCTTGTACACGGTGGCTTGCCATGAAGAGCACGAATCAGCTCCAAGAATGGACATCGTGTACCTGTTGATCTCCGGTGTCATGGAGATTGTGGGCTTGGCCGCCTCTACAACATTTGACTTTGAATCCAAGAGCCCGAGTTATCTCAGCGGGACCGTAGAAATAGTACAGAGGAAAAATTTCAGCTAACAAATCGTTAAGAAATTTCAGGCTATATCAATGCGCATATACGTAGGGACCCAAGGACTAAAGAAAAGAGAAATTCTTGTCATCCAGAAGTGAACAAGCAGCAGGTAATTCTTGTCATAGCAAGGACTCACGAGCGGTTGAGGGCTCGACATCGGGGACCAGCATTTTCCCTTCCACGAGAAGAATGTGGTACAAGACAACTTTTTAATCAAGAAGCTTTACACATCGACGCCCTTCACCTTGCTGCTTGCAAATAAGAACACCTTGCTTCCAGTCATCCAGCTGAGATCGATCGATAGGGGATATGTGGACTCCAGTGTTCTTTTTCGTATTCGCCCTCTGCGTTAAGTGTTCTACACTTCACTTCATCACATCTGCTTTGCTCGCAGCTGACATTATATATGCTGCTCTTTGGCTCTCCAGCTTCTGGATGGATCCAGTGCCCGCCGCTATGGCCGATGGGGGGGCACAGAAGGGATCGAGTTTAGCGACGGCGAGTCCAAAGGGATTGTGTGCATGCGACTCTGGCACGGTGAAGTGTTTGATGGTCTCCAAGTGATGTATGACTATGGAGATGGTCAGTATATCTGGGCACCAGCTCATGGCACCACCACACACAAGGCACCGACACAGGTGAGCTCCAACTTGTCCACGAGATCACCTGGTTCTTCCTTCTTGTTCTTCGCAGATATGTCTGGACTATCCCAATGAAGAGATAACCCAAATGAGAGGATTCGGAGGACCAAGCAAGTTCACGAGAGATGGGATAAATCAGCTCACCTTCATCTCCAGCGACAAATACACTGGGCACCAGAAGAGCTATGGGCCATATGGAATCACAAGAGGACAGTTTTTCGTCACTCCAGTCGGCAAATTCGTGGGCTTCTGGGGCTTTGCTACACAAACTCAGTACTTCAGAGGCATCGGAATGTATCTGGAGCGACCCTGCTATCCTGGATCCAGCTTTAATTCGTCATCCACACTAGAGCTCAATGTGGCTTAAGCTTGTTTGATCCTTGATCATGTCCGAGAATTTATACGTATGACATGTCCTTTGGCCCTGTGCTCCTCGAAACATAGTTCCCTGTGCCGTAGTGCCTCGCGACTCGATATACAGCACGAGCCTCTCCATCTCCAACTCGCTCTGTGAGCTGAGTTAGCACCTACGGATCCCTGCCACAAACCCATGCCCTCCTCGTTAAAAAAAAAAACACGTAGCTTTCATGAAAACATATCGGTACATACCGTGATCCCATTCGCGAGCCCGTGGCCAGCTTCGAGCTTCGTAGATCCACCTACGAGCGCAGCGTAACTGGAGTCCTGCTAATGTAACGTCACTACCTTCGTGTTAGAATCCCCACTTCTGTAAGAGCATCCTGACGACCCACTGCGGTGCCGAAGTTGGCCAGCTTTCTCGATCTTGTCCGGAAACCAATCTGCAATGGCTGACCTCGTGGTCTCTTAAAATCGAAAGGTGATAAACTCTGATCGGTAAACGTACCTGAAATTGTCGCTGCAGTCATAAAGGTACACGAGATTGGCGCCACGAGAGGCAAAACATTCGGCGGGCGAGCAGGCAATGAGGAACTGATCGATCACCTATATGGCATCACATCATTCCGCTGAAAAGAACTCTCGAGCGTACCATGCACTAGATGAAATATAGAGCGCAGCAACCATGGGAGAAGTAAGTGAGAGGCGCTGAAAAAACACAAATTTTTTCTGGAAACCAGCTCCGAATTAGGATTACCCGAAAACGTGCTCCTCTTACGAACAAGGAGCGCATCGAGTAGTCGGAATGCGACAAACAGCATGAGCAGCCCCCCATCCCCCCATAAACCCAGGAACTTGGTTGGTTGGTCGATTATGTCACCCACCAAGTTGGTCATCTATGATAGACAGACCAACTTGGGATAGCGCATTGCCGGCCTGTCCAAAGAGTGATGTGATGGAGTACTGCTCCATGGACTTCACCTGGTACCACGAGTCCATCACCACGTTGTTTTTGTCGGTCCCAGAGAACGCGACATTTATCTGTAAGAGCCAGAAAAGGAGTAAGGATGCTTCTTCTCTATCTCGGAGGAAAAGACACAAAGCTTACGGCAAATCGGCACGGATCAGCGCCTTTTACCGACGCAATTGTCGACGATGGATCCAGACAAGTCGACTCTGACGTCGAACAGGCACCTTGGAAGCACGAAGCGCTCGTCTTTCCACCGCAGGATGCACACTTATCGTCCTTCCTGAAGAAAGAAACGTAAACACACACAAACAAAGGTGATTCTTACCAAAGCAAATTCTTGAGCACTCCTTTCTTGAGCTCAATCACGAGCGTGTAGATCGGTATTCTCCCCTGCTCACAAAACAAACCGTGACTCCAATTTCGGCTAAAACTCTTCCTCATGAACTTACGTAAGGAATGAGGAAGTATTTTGGAGTCGAGACAATTGTGGGATTCCCAGCATACGCAACCACAGTAGCATTCCCAGGAAACTGGAACAAAAAAACAAAACCTGATAAGAAAGTCAAAGTAAAAGAAAAAGATCTTCTTTTACTGTGTTCTTCGATCGTGGAAGTTTGATAAATTACGGCAGTGTGAAGATCCAGATAGCTCGCATTGTTCGTCCGCAGCATCGAGATTTGATCCAGCAGAGGCCTGAACACGGCAACCCGGGAATTCGCCGGCATTTTCTGCCCAACACAGCAAACCAAAGAAAGCTCGATCAACACGAATTCTCAGACAACACTCACAGCGACGAGCGCGTTGTCGCAAGGCGAGAGCTGATTGAGCGACGGATCCGAGTTGTTGTACCACACCGAGGGCGCGCCAGTGTACCCTACCGCAATGCTGATCGAATCCTTGCCCCCGACCGGCAGCAACTGGCGGCACGGATTGAATACCGGATTGTTGTCCGCGGCATCGACGAGAATCACCGCGATCGGCAGGAGCGCCAGCAGCAGCAGCAGCGCCATTGCTCTTCTCCTCTAGGGCTAGGGCACTTCTTTTCCCGCTCATTGGTTTAAACTCTAGCATTAGGGTGCGACCTGTTATAGAAATATAATTCCCGGGCAGATGCATTTTGAGATGATCAATATCAAATGCATTAGGAGTTTACAAATATATAGTGTAACCATAGAAACGATCCTCTCTTTCACAAAGGACACAAGAATCACGTCATGTGTGCCTCCAAAGTACGTGATAAAGATCAGTGATCTAGACAATGAGTGTCTTCCCTGTGGTACGAAACAAGCTAGATAAGTATAAAACAAAGATCTAAAGATCTTGAAAACATACCTGGTTAAAAGCCTCAAATCCAGCAGCTTCTATAACCCGTGAGCCCTAAACAACAGAGCTAAAATGCGTTAACAACCGTGAGCCCTAAACAACAGTGCAATGCCCTAATTACCAGAGTAATTAGTAACCAACGAATTTTATCGAGTACTGGTCCCATATTTCTTGCGTGGGCTCCTGATTCTATGGCTAGAACAGGAGCACAGGCACCCAAGGTGGGGTTTTTCTAACCAATCTAGTGTCGATCGTGCTCGCTCGCTCTTGGTCTCCGCGATTGCTCCACAAATCTTGGCGTCAAGCTTCCAACAATGGTGTCGCGGATCGGATCTGGTGGTGCCCACGGCGCAAAACGTTGACAAGTTCTTCCCTCTTCTATTCTGCGAGGGGGCAAGAGATAGGGAAGGAGAGGAGAGCTCCCGATAGTTCCGTGCTCTGGGTAAAGACAGGAGCTTCTTGGACGGAGCTCATCAAGGCCGTAGAGATGGAGGAGATGTGGCGGCGTTGGGAGGCCGCCAGCCACAATCACAGTGCTCCGCCGGACGGGAGAAGGATGAGCGACAGTGGGCGATGACGCCAACACCCCCGAATCGTGGCACCGATCGAGGCGGAGACGGAGAATCGGGAGCCCAAGTCGCTTGATCATCGATTAGATTTGGCAGAATGGATGCGGTGGTCGAGACCGATGAGGAGGAGGAAGCCCAAGAACAGGGAAAGGGAAGAATGTGGAAGCTGGACCAAACTTTGGATCAGCCACTCGGGGAGGAGGCCGGGCACGTCGCCAGTATGTGGCGATCCGACAAGGTTTGTGATGAATCCTCCATCCCGCTTGTCTCGTGAATCCAATTGGGCTTCTTTGTTTCTTGCTCCAGGGATTGTCCACGGCCACCACTTTGCGGCTGGCCTTCTTGAGCTTGGGAGTGGTGTATGGAGATCTTGGAACCTCGCCTCTCTACGTCTTCTCGAGCATCTTCCAGGACACTAGCACCGTGGAGAACACCGACGATATCCTTGGAACGCTCTCGCTCATCATCTACACCATCACTCTCATCCCTCTCATCAAATACGTGTTCATCGCGCTTCAGTCCAGCGACTATGGCGAAGGTTGGCTCTTTCTTCTCGCTCGTTGTTTCCTTCTCGTCTCGATCGGGAGCTCATGAATCCTTGTCCGCAGGTGGAACTTTTGCTCTCTACTCGCTCATCTGCAGGCACGTCAAAGCAAACACCATCCAAAACCAGCATCACACCGACTTGAAACTCACGACGTATAGCCGCCGGCCAGTAGCTCCAAACTCTCTGGCTTTCAAGGTGAGAACACTCTTGGAGAACAACTCCCATCTCCAGAAGATCTTGCTCGTCCTGGTTCTTTTGGGAACGAGCATGGTTATCGGCGATGGTATCCTTTCCCCGGCAATCTCAGGTATAGCGACACACACTTTTTCTTCGCTCTTCTCGCTCGTTTTCTTCTGACAATACGCTACCTTTGCAGTACTTTCGTCTGTCAAAGGCATTCAAGCGGCGCATCATTCTCTTCCGGAAGGTACCAAAGAAGCAGCGCTCACAACAGTTTACGCAACATTTGTTTCTTTTTGCAGAAGCTGTGCTGGTGCTGTCCCTGCTGATTCTGGTGATCCTGTTTTGTATGCAACGATTTGGAACCGGCAGAGTGGCTTTCATTTTTGCTCCCGTCATCTTTCTCTGGTTCCTCTCCATTGGTTTGATCGGGCTCTACAACATTTTCAGGCACGACCCATCCATCTTCCGGGCGCTCTCGCCGCTCACTTTCATTCGCTACTTCCACAGGAGTGAAGTGAATGGATGGGTCGCTCTTGGAGGAATTATGCTCTCCATCACTGGTAAACGATGTTCCTCTTTCGTTTTTACGCTGTCGCTCATGCAAGGAATTCACATTGCAGGCGCAGAGGCATTGTTTGCAGACCTCGGCCATTTTTCCGCTCTTTCCATTCAGGTAACGAGTTTCCTCGAGCGAAAGAAAAAACCAGAAAGAGAAAAGATAGATAAATTGGTATACAGAGATTTCTTATGAGAAACTTTTGCAACAGCTGGCGTTTACATTTCTGGTTTTTCCTTGCCTCCTCGCAGCTTACATGGGGCAGGCTGCGTTCTTGATGCATCATCCAGATCGAGTGGCCGATGCCTTCTATAGCTCTGTCCCAGGTACTACGGTTTTCTCAAAGCTCGTGAACAAATATGTGAACAAAACTTCTCTTTTACCTTGTTTCACAGGACCTCTGTACTGGCCAATGTTTGTGATTGCCACCGCAGCAGCGATCATCGCGAGCCAGGCAACAATCTCGGCAACTTTCTCTATAGTCAAGCAGGCAGTAGCACTCGGCTGCTTCCCTCGAGTAAAGATCGTCCACACTTCTCAGCGTTTCATGGGCCAGATTTACGTGCCCGAGGTGAACTGGATACTCATGGCGCTGTGCTTGCTCATCACTGCCGGCTTCCGCAAAACAACGCAAATCGGCAACGCATACGGTATTCAAAAACACTTTTTTTTTTCTTTTCAGGAGAGCAAAACTTACTGCCAACTTGCTTGTCACAGGTGTTGCCGTGATCGGAGTTATGCTAGTCACGACTTTGCTCATGGCTTTGCTCATGGTGGTCATCTGGCAAACAAATATATTCCTGGTGCTGCTCTTCCTCGCCGTGTTTGGCACCGTGGAGCTCGTTTACATCTCGGCCGTGCTCTTCAAAGTTCCAAATGGTGGCTGGGTTCCCCTGGCGATAGGAGCGGTCCTCTTGCTCGTCATGTATACATGGCACTACGGCTCCACGCAGCGCTACGAGACCGAGAAACGCAACAAAGTCTCGGTTGGATGGATCCTCGGCCTGGGACCGAGCTTGGGACTCGTCCGGCTACCCGGCATCGGCCTCTTCTACACCGAGCTAGCTCACGGAGTTCCATCTATCTTCTCCCACTTTTTGACGCACTTCCCAGCGATCCACTCAATCCTGGTGTTCGTCTGCGTCAAGTACTTGCCGGTGAGCACGGTGCCAAAGGAGGAAAGGTTTCTGGTGCGAAGGATCGGCCCCAAGAACTACCGGATGTTTCGCTGCGCTGTGAGATACGGATACAAGGATCTCCACAAACGAGACGACCATTTCGACGATCTCTTGATCCAGACGCTGGCGGCGTTCGTGAAGTACGAGTCGCTGCTCGAGAGCGTGGATGGACAGGACGATGGAAACTCGGAGTTAAGCCAGGTGGTGTACGCGGCGTCGAGCTCCCAGTCCCAGCAAGAACAGCAAGAACACGATCACCAGGAGACGAGGAACACGGTGGCGGGGTTCATGAGCAACTCTCTCACGTCGGTGAACTCGTCGACGCAGCTGACGAGCTACAGCAGTGATGGCGACGACAGAGATGATCGACGACAGGACGAGCTCAAGTTCTTGCACAGCGCCAAGGAGCAAGGCATCGTCCACATCCTCGGCAACACGCTCATCCGGTGCAACGAGGGATCGGGGCTGCTGAGGAGAGCGACGATCAATTACTGCTATGGATTCCTTCGCAGGATCTGCCGGGACAACTCGGTGATCTACCACATCCCTCACGAGAGCCTCCTTCACGTCGGCATGGTCTACAATGTGTGATCGAGGCATCCATAGCTTCGTTACCATTGATTGAGAAAGAAGATCGCGAAGAACAATGATTAGATTAGCAGTGGTTGTTAGTGGTAAAGTGGGGGTTAGATTAGTGGGAATAAAACGTTCTTCCCGGTTGGCGGCATGGTATTGGGCGCGGCCTCTATGTCCAAACGTGTGAGGGGAGAACCCTATGCGTGAGTGATGTAGAGCTCACTCCTGCAGCACTGCCAAAGAAAGCTTTGCTCGCCCAGCCCCTCTCTCTCTTCTTCCTCTTCCTCTTCCTCTTCCTCTCCTCCATCATTTTCATTGCCACTCTTCCAAATCCACACTCCAGTTCTCGAGAGAGTGAGAATGAGAGTGTGATTTAAAGTGTGGCAGAGAAGAGCCAGCGCTCTTTAATCGATCCAAGAGCGCGCCGAGCGAGCGCCGCCGCCGCTCGAGTGTGGATTGCTTCTTCTTCTTCGACTTCTTCTTTAATGGGGAAGCTCAGTGCTGCGGAGAAGGAGAAGACCAAGATCCGCGAGAGGCACAGGCGCGCGATCACGACGCGGATCTTCACTGGCCTGCGCAAGCACGGCGGCTACAATCTCCCGCCGCGAGCGGACATCAACGATGTTCTCCGCGCGCTTGCCGGCGAGGCGGGATGGATCGTGGAGACGGATGGAACTACTTATCGCCCCCAGCAAGATCAGAGCTCTCACTCCCAGCAGCACCAGGTTGGTCTTTCTTTCCATTTCCTTCCATTCGCTAGCATTTGATCACCAATATTCGAGCGAGCAAAAGAGAGCGCGAGTAGAAGATTTCTTGATCGAGATATGGGAATGAGATCAATCGTGGTTTCTCTTGTATGTTTCTTGGGCAGAAGGTTGCATTGAGCCAGATTTCGCTGCCACAGTCGGGAGGATCCGGAAGAACCACCACAACATCGCTGACAAACACGACACACTCGATCAGCAGCGGCGGCCACCATCACCACCACCAACACCACCAGCAAATAAATCTCGCGGCGGCTGGAAGATATCTCCTCTCCCCCAGCCACCTGATGCTCCAGCAGCAGCAGATGGATCCCCGCGCAGGGGATTGCTCCACTACCGCCTCGCCCCGCCACCACTACATGTCCAGCTCCTCCATGCCGCCGCTCCTCCAGGGCGCCGCCACCACCGCCACCACCACCACTACCACCAATTCCGGCCTCTCCACCTCGCCGCTAGCGTCCCCGGCTTCTTCCGAGGGTACGGGAGCTCGGCCTGGCGGAATTAGATCCGCTAGCGCCGCCGCCAGCGCCGCCAACAATCACAACTTCTTTGGCCAGTTCCACCACCTCCCATATGGACTGACGCTGGATCGAGCCGACTCCACGGACCAGGACGCCGTCACGGCATGGATGACTGACATTGGTACCGCCGGTGGTACCGCCGATCATCTCCCACGGTCCGCGCAGCTCTCCAACCTCATCTATTCCATGCAGCAACAGCACGCCGCGCGGCTTGTCAGCGGCGCCACCTCCCGCGCCGCCACGCCGCCGGCCTACGGTACAGCCCAGCTGCTCCACTACAGCATGCAAGAGCAGCGGGCGTCCAACCACAACACGCCACTTGGCTCGCCGCAACGCCACTGCTGACTAGGCTGACACGTGCCAGAGTATCGGAATAGAATATTATATTTATTTATCCCATATATCAGTTATGGTTCCATTTTGACTACCAATGAAACTGATGGATAAGAGTAGAGCTAGATACATTTCATTTTATAAGAAACCTTCCCATACATTTACGTCTAGTGACTCTCTACTTAGTATCCACCTCGACTGGAGGTATAAAAGAAAATGTAAGAAACTAGTTACTAGCTAGTGGTCAGGTTATAGTTTGGTGGTGTCACACCAAAACGTGGAGAATCGCGTCGTGTCAAAGTGACCTCTCACTCGTGCCGCTATATATTGTACGGTAGAGGTACATTTCTAAAACTGGCCCAGGGCGTACGGGGATTGGAATCCTTTCGGAATCCGAGAGAGTTAAAACCGGGGGGAGGAGTATAGTACGCTGTAGTAGTAGCGCGCGTAAACAACTACGCTACGATACTAGCGGAGGCGATAGAGAATATACCTAGGCTAAAAACACGCGCTACTCATGCGCGCCACCATAAAATCATTGCTGTAACGGCCCCATGGCATTGGCATGGCATTGGCATGGCATGGCACACATGCATGACTGTGGAATATACCCTGGGCTTGCCCGTGGAATATGCGACCGTGGGGATAGTGCGTCACCGCGCGGGGAGCATGTGAACGCGGTCGTGCATTATCTAGGGTTTTGATGCGCGATGGAACTGGCAGAGGAGGCGGAAGCGTGGCGGGGGAGGCGGAGGAGGCGGGCGGAGCTCGGGGATGGATGTAAGCTCTAGGATCGACTGAAATTTCGCCCTAGTTCTTCAGCTATGGGCTGCTTCGCGTGCTTCGGCTCCTCCAAGAAGCAGGCATCAGGGAGGAAAGGGCTGAGGAGGGAGGACAGCGCCGGATCCTTCAACAAGACGGCATCCGGTGAGTTTAGCTCGGAGAATGCGGGCGATCTGGGTTTGTTCTTGCCCTTGATCCCATTGCGCTGTGAAATGCGGGTGTGAATTAGGCAATGTACATTGCTTGCTGGCGGGAACTGATGGGCTGTCGATGCAGATAAGCTCAAATCCAAAGGCTTCTTCGATGCAAAAAAGGAAGGGAGTCGCGGCGACGAGTCCAAGATTGCTGCGCAAACATTTACGTTCCGCGAGCTTGCCTCGGCAACCAAGAATTTTCGACCGGAGTGTATGCTCGGCGAAGGAGGCTTTGGCCGTGTCTACAAAGGGCGCTTGGACAGTGGCCAGGTTCGGTGTTCTTGCTCTCTTGCAAGTTTTTTCTTTCTTGTTTGGTTTTGTCTAACAAATTTTCCTCCTTCCAACACTGCAGGTTGTGGCAGTGAAGCAGCTGGATAGAAACGGACTTCAAGGAAACAGAGAATTCTTGGTGGAAGTTCTGATGCTCAGCTTGCTTCACCATCCAAATCTCGTCAATTTGATCGGCTATTGTGCTGATGGCGATCAAAGGCTTCTCGTCTACGAGTTTATGCAGCTTGGGAGCCTGGAAGATCATCTACACGGTTTGTCTATTAATTTAGTTGTTTCCTGCATACGAAACTGAGTGAGCTTTCGTGCAGACGTGCCGGCTGACAAGGAACCGTTGGGCTGGAACACAAGGATGAAAATAGCTGCGGGAGCTGCCAGGGGACTGGAGTACCTACATGACAAAGCAAATCCGCCAGTTATCTATCGGGATTTCAAGTCATCAAACATCTTACTCGGCGAGGGGCATCATCCCAAGCTCTCAGATTTCGGTCTTGCAAAGCTGGGTCCAGTCGGGGACAAAACACACGTTTCAACCCGTGTGATGGGAACTTATGGCTACTGTGCACCTGAGTATGCCATGACGGGACAGTTGACCCTCAAGTCGGACGTGTACAGTTTCGGAGTCGTTCTTTTGGAGCTCATCACTGGACGGAAAGCTATCGACAATGCTAGGCCGGCCGGAGAGCACAATCTTGTTGCATGGGTAAGTTTTTGTACTCCTTTTTATTTTCCTTCTTTCATACACGTACTTTACGCGCAGGCTAGACCCCTCTTCAAAGATCGACGAAAGTTTCCTTCTATGGCCGATCCACTCCTTCAAGGCCACTATCCAATGAGAGGCTTGTATCAGGCTCTCGCAGTAGCAGCGATGTGTCTCCAAGAGCAGGCAACTACGCGGCCGCACATAGGGGACGTGGTGACGGCTCTAAACTATCTAGCGTCCCAAACTTACGATCCGGGTCTTTATCCAGCAAACAACAGCAGGTTCGCTCCCTCGACGCCGTCCAGAGACAGGCGTGAGCGAGAGAAGAAGTCGAGTGGGACGGAAGAGAAACGGCTCAGGGATAGAGGGGCTAGATCGTCACTACCATCGGCTCAGGGAACGCCAGAGTTGCGGTCCAAGGATCCTCGTTTCCGTGCTGCAAATGGTGGTGGGGGGAATTCTTCCGACGATTTGGAAGGTGGTCACAGGGACAGCCCGACGCATGCTGCTACCAGACACGCCAAAGCAGTGGCTACTCGCGAGCAAAGAGACCGAGCTTGGGGGGAGAGCAATAACAACAGTAGAGATAGAAAGAAGGGAAGCTTTGGTTACGATGGCTGAAGGGGGGGAATTCCAGAACAGGAGGAACTGTGCTTTGCTTTACTACGATCTACCAGCGAAAACTGGATCACAGCGAAGAGCAGCAGCGACTGAAAATCAAAAACAAGGAACAAAAGTGGGAGCTGCTGGAAGAAAGTGTATAGAACACACGAATGGTTCTTGGTTCTTGGCAGCGAATTTGCAAGGGGGGAGTGACAGCGGCGGAGTCTTCTTTATATCTCTTTTTTCTCTACACACTCTTGCCTTTGTGGTGTTATATAGTATTATGTAAGATAGATTGTTTCCTTCTTTCCAAACAAGAAACAGTTTATTCTCTTATGAGAGCTTATACTCTCTTACCATTGTATGGATAATTTATCTTGCAAATATTCTTTGAGAGATTGTGGGTAATTTTATTTCTCAAATATAGATAGAATGTATCAGAGAAATTAGTAATAATTTTAGTGCCATATAGAAATGAAAATAGGTGAATTCCTGATATATATAAACTTTGAAAGGTTATTCAATCTCAAGAATCAAGCTTAATTGATTAGATCTTAGCAATCTTAGCAATGAAAAGGTTTTTGCTTCTAGCATTGCTAAGTTTGCTTCTTATAACAGTTACAATAGCAGGCCATCGGTGACAATGGAGGTCATCACGGAGGTGGTGGTAGCTCAGGTAAATCACAAAAAAATATTTGTTTAGAAGCTTTAGTTTCTTATACGTGATCAATGATTTATCACAGATCCTACACGGTCTCTCCCATGTACAATTCCGAAAGTAATGAGCAAGCGATGTCAACTACCGAGCCCTCCTGTTGATTATTGCCCTTCATCGCCATCACCTTCATCGACTCCATCGACTCCACAAGCTCCACCTCCGCTCCAAGTTGCTCTTGCTCTGCTGACGATGAAGGCACAGACGAGGAAAACTAGAGCATGAGCGCGGATAGACTTCCATGTTTCCATTCGCCTCTCCCCACAAACTTGCGAACTAATAAACTCTTGCGTTCTTCCACTTACTTGATATTGATCTCCAGGAACTTGTCCATTGCGTCAACCACGGCAGGAGGCCATTCCAAGCTCGAGCTTATCCACCTTATACAACAGGAAATCCATCAAAGCAGCTTCTCACAGAACTAAATCCATGTTTCCATGTTTCCAGACCTTGCATCGCTGAAATTTGGATTTTGCACGCCGGCTTGATTGAACTGGTCTTCTGCCTGGCTTCGGTTGCCTTCTTTCCAGAGAAGAGCTGCTAATGCTGCATGAGCTTCGGCATAGTTGGGATACTTCCTCACGAGGCCTTGCAGCAATTTCTTTGCTGCTTGGACTTGATCTAGCTGAATGTTCCATCAAAGCAAAATAAAACTAAAGATGCGGGAAGGTGTCCTACTTACCTGGAAGAGAACTAGTGCTTGCTTGAATCGGTATCCTGCGATTCCAGGAGCTAAAGTGGCAGCTCTCTCGTAAGCACTTGCAGCAGCAGCATAGTTTTTGACACGAACATCCACGTTTCCCAGGTTATACCACGCTGCATACTCCTGTAAATTTCTTCCTAAGCGAAGAACAAAAACAAAAGGAATGAACAAACTTGTTTGTACCATACCCGAGGATCGATTTTAATGGCTGCTTCACAGTCAGCAATGGCATCGCCATAGTTTCCTAGCGCCTGAGTACAAAAGATAGAGTTTGAGTGAAAGTCTAGAAGAACTTATTTACCTCGTTCGCAATGGCTCGATTGAGCAGCGGAACTGGTGCTCCAGGCGCAAGAATTACTGCTTTCGTGTAATCTTCTAGCGCTTGCTGGTACTTCTTGAGTGACACTCTCACGTTTCCACGGTTGGACCACACGCTAGCATTTGTATCATCCTCGGATAGAAGCTCCGAGAAGAGGGCCTCGGCATAATCAAAGTCACCACTTACAGCTGCTCGAATCGCCTCCCGCAACTTTGGATTGTCAACGTCTTCCAGCCTCACTTGCTCGCACCGAGCCACACTCGTCAAGCCGAAAAGCAAAGTGGCTGGCACTCCAATCGTCGACAAAATGGCCAATTTTCTTCTCGTCGTCGTCGGCTTGAGCTTGCGCTGTGGCTGCTGGTGCTGGATTTGCAGATTCTTGCCCAGCGGTGGAAGAAAGTTGCGAGCATCGAGAGTTATCATGATATCTTTTGAGACTGAGCTCTAGCAAAGCGTTAGCGAGTGACACGAACTAAGATCTCTTTTAATCCAGAAAGTTGGTTTGCATCGTCTCACCCGTTTCTAGATCTCTCAGTCGTCTACGGTGCTCAGAAAGCCTCCAACAAAGCCAGCACCATTGCAGTTTCCACACAAGATCTGCCTCTTCCCCCTGGAAAGTTTTCTCTGTTTCTCGTCGGAAGAACAAGTTTTAGCAGTACCTGCACAGCCAGCACATCTCTCCGGTTTTGAAACGTCCTCCAAAATGATCCTCCAAGTTAACGCCATCGCCTTTGCATGAGGTGCAAGACTTCGCCCCTGTGAAAAAGAATAGAATTTGAAGAACAATCCATGAGAAACAAAAAAAAGCTCACCATTTCCAGTACACTCTGGACAGATGATGCTCTTGCTCCCAGACGAAGATGGCGAAGGAGGAGCGCTGCTACTTGCCTGGAAACCACGAATGCGGTACTTAGCTATGGGAATTAGAAGAAAGAGAGGAAATACTTGCCTTGGTGACGATAAGAGAATGTTGGTGCCGTTGTTTCAAGCACGCCTGTGGAATCGCGGGCTTGGAACAAGTTTTGGAGCGAGCCCAGAAGCTGGGATTACAATGCACAACTAGACAGGACGACGCCATAGCAGCGCTCTCACTCTAAAGGCCCAATAAACGTCAAGGGTTTCTACTTAAATGCTATATACTGGATTTGCCACCTCGTTCGAGCAAGAGAAATCCTTCTCGTGGCGATGTTCTATGGAAAAATTGGATCTTTGTTTACATGTAACTCCCTTCGCTGGGTAGTATTTACATTTGCAAAGGGGTCCTGGAAGAATTTGAGGAAGAGTCATAGAGAAATCGCTTCATCGTCTCTGGAAGTTCAAGAACTTGATGCACAGGCCGAAGACGATCGCGATTGTGACGACGAGCGCAACATGCACGCCTGCGACCACACCCAGGAAATCGTGCTCGTAGCCGAAGTAGTCTCTCAAAAACTCTTGCACTGGCACTGGCTGCCTCGTCTCGTCTGTGAGCCTCAGTGGCGCAGTAATATCCCCGAGCTGAGAAGTGATGATTCCATACAGCGTCCACGCGGGTGGCGAAAGCCAGTAGCACCATCTCCACCAAATTGGCATGCTCTGCATCGTGCAAGAGAAAAAAAATGAGTTTCCTCGATCGAGCAAAAGCGAAAAAAGTGTGATTATATACGCACCGGTCGAGGGATGAGAAAACCCGCGAAGAGGTTCCACACTGCGTAGAATCCCGTCGAACAAATGGCCGCCACCCTCTCGTTGGGCGTGATTGCCACGGCCATCATCCCGTAGAGCGTGAAGAAGAGGAAGGAGAAGTAGGAGAAGAAGACGAACCACAGAAACTTTGCGGCCGACCACTCGAGTTTCATCATCGAGTAGACAATGGCCGCGTATGAAACTGCCTGAACCAAAACGTAGAAGAGCTCGATAATCACCTGAAAGAAACGTCTGAGATATGTTTCTTCGTCACCATAGCCAAAGCTTCAAATTACATTACCTGAGCAAAGGCGTAAGGGAGAGCGGAGTACATTCCAGCGGCTTTCTCTCGATAGTAAACAGCTCGCTCCACTGAAACAACCGGTTGAACTCCCACTGCGTTGCAAACTCCAATGAAATACACGGCCGAAAACATGGATCCCATGAGATTGAACAAGTCTTGCTGCCTTTCTCTGCAAAGTAAACAAAACCGTGTCAACTTTGTCAAACATTATTGCAGCAAAAGCTTGCCTACCTTTGCGAGCCAATGTCCCAAAACATGGTGCCAAACATGAGAGCAGCAGTGAGCGTGAAGAACAGGCGTCCCAAAACATAGTAAGGATTCTTCCAGTAAGATCGATGCTGCTTCCACAAGCAGGCCACTACTTGTCCCCCAAACGAGAGAGGAAATTGCGAAGGGAAAGACAAGTCGACCGAGCCTGGAGGAGGTGTGCGTAGATCAGCAATCACAGCTTGGTTGTGCCTGATAATTCATTGATCAGTCCCAAAACTCTCAAAGAATGTTATAACTTACTGGTAGAGAGTTGACGACTTGTAGATCTCAGAGTAGTCGACATTCAGCCGGTGTTCTACGTCCGGATTCGTAACCTCGAGCATCCAAGTTGCCGGATTGTATCCGTCAGGGATACAAGGAACACCAGGAACAGCCTGCACAAACAAGTCGCGCTCGTTTAGAACCGAGTTTTGCAGAAGAAAAAAACTATCACGTACTTCAAAGTAGTCGATGAGTCTGCTCGAATGATTTCCAAGAGGACCAGAGTAAATCACTCGCCCTCCTCGTTGCATGAGCAACAGCTAAAACCACACAAACATAACAATCAACACAAAAGCTGGAAAAGAGAAACTCTCTGTTGATCAAAAGATCTTACCTCATCAAAGGATTCGAAGATGTCAATGCTCGGCTGGTGAATGGTACAAACGACGGTGCGTCCCGTGTTCACGGTATTACGTACGGTTCTCATGACGATTGCAGCGGCCCGAGCATCCAGACCCGAGGTTGGCTCGTCCATAAAAATGATGGATGGATTCGCAACGAGTTCTACTCCTACTGTCAGTCTCTTTCGCTGCTCGGTGGAGAGCCCGTCCATTCCAGGGCGACCAACGATGGCATCTCGAATAGGAGTGAGCTCCACAAGCTCCATTATCTCCTCCACAAACATCTACACCACAAGGGAAAAGAAAATACTCAAAGTCAGAAACCACTTGAACTTGAACGCTCAGCAAAAACACTTACCAGTCTAGTCCCCTTGGATACATCCTCGGACAGTCGAAGCCAAGCCGAAAAGACGAGCGATTCGTAGACAGTCACGTTTGGTGAGTGGATATCGTTTTGCTCGCAATAGCCAGAGACTCTAGTAAACGTTTCCTGCTTCTTTGGAAATCCCGAGATGGAGATCTCACCCTCGATGTAGCCACCGGTTTTACGTCCAGCCAAAACGTCCATCAGAGTAGTTTTCCCAGCTCCACTCACGCCCATCAGAGCCGTAAGAACTCCAGGCCTGAAGCTGCTGCTTATGTCGTGAAGAAGCTGGAGTCTGCTCTCGTCCACGCCTTCTTTTAGCATCTCCTGGAAGTATGAACATGAGATTTTCGGAAGACAACAAAAAAAGAGAGCTCAGTTTTGGAAACCAACCGGAGGCATGTCTACGTAATACTTGACGTTGCTGAAGGCCAACGCCAGTGGCTTGAAAGGAAGAACCATTCCAGTTTTCTTGGTGTCAGCTTGTTTGCTTAGCTCGAGCTCAGTAGCTGCAAGAAACAAATACGGGAAATCAGATCGCCCTCGTGAGAATGGAAAAACGTAGACTTACCCGAGTCATAAACCTTAGACTGATTCTTGTGTCCTGTGACCGAGACTATCGCTTGATTAGATTTACTGGGAGCTGCGAAAATAGATGGAAATCTTATAACGTAAGAACTTCAAGAGTGATCAGTAATTCTTACCGCGGAGATAGGTCAAGGCCAAAGTGAAACCAACATTAAAAAGGATGACGTAGCCAAGCTCAGCACCAGCTCCAATCCAGTACCAGTAATCATCAGAAAAAAGTCCTCGTGACTCTAGGAAGTTTCTTCCATCTGTGGAGTTCCCTTCAGTCTACAAGAAAGAAAAGATCGATGTGAGAATGAAATGCTTGTCTTAGATAGGACTCACCTGTTGCCACCTTGATGCACTAAACTCATTAACAGCGAGAGCGTTTTGCCCATACATCATTGGAGACGACCAGTACCCCCAGATCCACCAAGCATGAATGCTATCTGGAACCAAGAAATAGGAGAAACTTAGATATTACAAACTGCGAGAAACGAGTTTCGTTACCTCTGGAGAGAACAAAGCCACCCAGCGAAAAGATGACCAACAGAGCAAACGACCCAAAAGTGTTTGCTACAACCATCTTCTGTGAGAGCGCAGCAATAAACCGGAAGAGTCCTCCGGCCATCTGATGGACCAAGAATATAATTAGATACTGGCGAAAGAGTCTGTCAAAATAGATGACTAAACCATTAGAGATGTCAAGAAAGCCTCGTAAGGTTTTTACAAACCTTGAAACGCTAGGAGCGAAACCAATCACGTAGTATGTCATGAACACAAACATTGCTGTTTCCAAAAGCGAGAGCGGAAGCCTCGTAATTACTGTCGCGATTGAATATGCCCAGGCAGGAAACAGCATTTGGTCTCGTTGCTTGAAAAACACCGGAAGGCGTTGGATCGTCATGGAAAGCTCCACAAAACCACTGAACATGATCGTAGCCAGGGCAAAAAACAAGGCTCCCATGTAAAGTTCCGCATCATCGGTGCTGTTGGACTGAATGTGTGTCCGTAGGAAAACGGTCATAGTGATCAAGGCCGTGATAAAGAGCTGCAAATTCGAGTTTTTCTTTAGTCACATGAGATCATCCTGGTGAAAAATATCTACGTACCTGTGTACACTTGAAGACGTAGACAAAAGCGTCCCTTTTCATCAGAAGCACTTGCCTTGCCATTACTGCTTTGAAAATGTCCCACTTGCCGAGGCCGTATTTCTTCGTCACAAGTGCCGCTGGATGAGATTTAGTCGTGTCAAAAGGCGTCGAAAGCTCCTCGGCTAAATTCTGACCAACATGAAATCCCTCGAATGCGCGTACGAATTTATCCACGGACACGTATTCGTAAGGCTTGTCCTCGACGGCCCAGTACTGCTCCTGATCTTTTCTCGACGTTACTTCTTGTAGGAAATCTGCGACTCCTTTCCTTGCAGGACACTTGAATCCCTGGGAGATGAAGAAATCGAGCACAAGCTCCCGTGGACCCTGATAAACAATCTGGCCTTCGGCCAGGAGGATCAAGTCGTCGAAGAGCTCGTAAGTTTCTGGCGCTGGTTGTAGCAAGGACACAACCACCGTAGCATCCAACACATGAACCGTATGCCTCAAACTTTTTATAATTTGGTACGTGGTGGAGGTGTCGAGACCAGTCGATATCTCGTCCATGAAAAGAGATTTGGCTGGCCCAACTAGCATCTCACCTGAAAGTTTAAAGAACTTGTTAGCAAGGTCGCGACTCAATTGTTGGAGCACTCACCAGTAGTAACACGCTTCTTTTGTCCACCAGAGATTCCTCTACGCATTGCATCGCCAACTAGTGTATCAGCACAAATGTCCAATCCGAGGATCTATACACGAGAAAACATATATAAAAACTCAGTCCACATTGAACTATTATAGCACTGAAGAAATACCTTCAGGATGTAATCCGTGACAATAGTGGTTTCCTGGCCTTGGATGGCAGAAGCCTGTTTCCACAAAAATATAAGGAAGTGGAAACGTTTTTCGTAAGTTCTTTACCTTCATGTAAGCATCAATATCAAGGTCTGGTTTGATCTTGGCATTCTTTTCTCTTCTAGCCAACTCCATAACCATTTCTGTTGTAGACAAGAAAAAGAGGTTGTCAGTCAGTACTAAAGCTTATGATGCAATAGCTTTGGAGATAATTACCATGGCTGCTTCCAACTCCTTGACACCTCGAAGAAAAATCAAAGGTTTCTCTCACTGTCAATTCTCCCATATGCAAGTCATGCTGGCTAATGTACGCTGACGTTCTCTGCGGCACAAACTCTGTCATATCGGAGCCATTGTAGGTGACGCGACCCGAAACCTGGATGAGGGAAAAGAGAAGATGGAGTTTGAGAAACTTCCTTGATAAACTTCAGATGATAAGAACTTGTTCTTGCCTTGAGTGACTTGTCCAATTTGCCGGCGAGTGCTAGAAGGAGCGTAGTTTTGCCCGCACTGGGAGGACCCAAGAGCAAAGTCATCCTGGAAGGCTTGATGATGCCACGGACATCGCGCAAGACTTGGAGTGGATGTTTATTTGATGGAACGAGATGAAGCAAGCCGAGGACTCCCTCCACCCCATTGACAACAAAGTTGTAGAGCGTTGGAAGAGCTCGCTTTCCCACATGAGCCTCAGCTTCTACATTGAGACCCTCAAACCGGACTTCGATTTTGGGAAGCTCCACTCCAACCCTGCAAACAGAAAAAGAAAAGAGCTGAGAAAAATCCCGATGTGACAAAGTTAAGAGCTTGCCTATCGATTCTTTCTCGGAGCCTCCTGACGAACTTCTCGTCCTCCGACTCCTGGACGCCCAGCAGCTTCTGGATGAGGTCCCTCTTTTCTTGTGATCCGAGCTTCTTCACATCCTGATAAGCAATTTGCTGCCCCCCATTCTCCCCAAGATTTTGGAGGAGTGCTGTCCTGAGACGATTGTGGGTTGGAAGCTTTTCCAACGCAACCCACTTGAGAGCCTCCTCATCATCGAAACGAATTGATCCACTCTCGGAAAAACAATCACCCGACATTGCCACCTCCATGATCGATCGATGAATGTATTTAGATACCAAGGCAAGCAAATGCTCGGGTTTTTATGCTCCAGTCTTCTCTGATTTTACAATACAAGTCTCTTGAGCGCGAGATCAAAGTTGGTAGGCTCTACTTGACAATTATAATATACTGGTAAAATGTTATGCGTTGAAGCAGAGTTTTTCTCTTTGTCAGCTGTCAAACGAGGAAGCTCATCGCAGAAAATTTCATACAAGGCTTCCTTTCATGACTTTGTATTGTTTAAATCGTGGTCCGCGTTTCAATGGTCAAAACATTCCCACGAGGTAGCCGAAGAAGTACGTTATCTTGTTTCCGAGATAACACTTTCTAAGATCAGTGGCTTCATTCCGGTTAAGCGCGTGAAATTCTGCACCTGATTCCCTCTCAAGAAAGTATTTGTAGTAGTTACGTAGTTTATTTGTACGTGATCTTATAGAGAATGCCTTTTGATGATCCAAGCATATTAACATTGTGATCATATTCAAGTCTCTAAATGTGTGCATGATGTCTAGGGTTAAATTTATAAATGAGCAGCGATTTGAGCGCTAGGCAAGAAGGCCAAGCTCGTGCTGGATGATGTTACTCGCCGGAGAGGCTTGACGCAAGGGTGTCCGGGGAGGAAGTCAAGGCGCTGCTAAACTACGAAGAGATCACGAGGTATGGCGTGCAATACGAGAATGGCAGCTTGTTGGTGTGCGGGGACAACACTCATTTCCATGGCCAAGCTCGGATGTGGATGGCGGCCACCCTCATACCCGAGACCGGCATGAGGAGGGTATGTTTTGGATTCCCTTTCCTCCGGCGTGATCAAGAAGGTGGATTTTGCACTGTACCCGAGAGGAGCCAAGAGCATAGTTGCCGGAAAACGTATGAAACTAAAAAAACGTAACGTTTTAAACACGTTAAAAAACGCCATTCTAAACTCCCAACGCGTTTGCACTATTTGCGAAAAGAGACAAAGGTTTCTTTAGGGTTTCTTCAGAACTTCATAAGGGATCTCCCTCATTGCCTTGCACGTTTTCACACCTCTTGCCCAAACTCCAGCAAGATGTGCTCACACTCGCTCCGCTCCCCCAGTGTGAATCTCATGACAATACTTACATGTCCAGTGCCGCTCTGCTTGTATCACATGCTTCCAGCTCCAGCATTTGCGGCATCCTCCAATTCCTGCCATGAACCCTTAAAAAACCTCGCAGTAGTTTTTCCGATTTCGAGCTAGCAGACCCAGCAGATGCCGATGATGGGCATCTGCTGCAGCAAGCCGCACAGGGTTCAGGGGGGCCAGCAGAATCTATGGTGGCAAGCACGGAGAACTGGTCCAGTGCTGAGACAAGCAGAACAGCGAAACGGCTTCTTCTTTCATTTGTTTTAGTATGTTATTCGGTTGGGTTTTATAAACTTAATATTAGATTAAAGTGTCTTTAGTAAATATTAGTGCTTTCTTAATCATTTTAGGCTTTAACATGTAAACGTTTGATTGTCCTGAAAAAAACGTTTTAAACGGCGTTTAAACGTGGACGCATTTGAACGTTTGCACGTCTAGCTGCAACTATGGCCAAGAGCAGCGACGGGTTTGTGGAGCCGATCGTGGTGGGAGAAGTTGCGTTCACCAACGAGGATGATGCAATCTTGGAGAAGAACTTGCTGGATGGTCTCGCGCTTGAGTCTGTGAATCTGGTGTTTGGGTTTTCTTTCGAGTATGACGAGATGGCTCGAAAGGGGAGCTACAAGTTTTTTGTGTGCCGGTCTTGGGGCAAGGAGCACGATCAGGAGCTTGAGCAAGCCCACCAAGATGACTTTCCCCACTGAAGAGGTGTTCAAGCATCCTACTCTGGAAGATAGTTCTGGAGAGGGGGGAACTGCTTTTGAGATTAATCTCGAGGGCTTCGTGGAGCATATGGATTCCACGGACATCTACTTTTGAGTGACCGTAGTTTGGTTTTTGCTTCGAAGGCTTACTAGATTTAAGCATAATACCTGAACCGAAAAAAAAAAAACAACAGAGGAACAAATAAAAAAACCAAAAAAAACAGTAGTGGTTGAATATGGAATCCGGCTATGCGAATCTTCCAGTGATGGTCTTCTTCTCTTGCGAGCATCAACAGAATGCTTCTACAAGGAGCAGAGAAGTCCACTTGAGTTTCATCATCGAGTAAACAATGCCTGAGTATGAAACTGCCTGAACCAAAACGTAGAAGAGCTTGATAAACACCTGACAAAGACGCTTTGAAATATTGCCACCATATACCCAAAGCTATACTTTACCTGAGCAAAGGCATAAGGGAGAGCGGAGTACATTCCAGAGGCTTTTTCTCGATAGTAAACAGCTCGCTCCACTGAAACAACTGGTTGAATCCCCATTGCATTGCAAACTCCAATGAAATACACGGCGGAATACATAGATCCCATGAGGTTAAACAAGTCTTGCTGCCTTTCCCTGCAAAGTAATCATAAACTTTTGTGAAAAGCTCAGGATTAAAGTTTTCTTTGAGCCAACGTCCCAAAACATGGTGCCAAACATGAGAGCAGCAGTGAGCGTGAAAAACAGGCGTCCCAAAACGTAGTATGGATTCTTCCAGTAAGATCGATGCTGCGTCCACAAGCAGGCCACTACTTGTCCCTCAAACGAGAGAGGATTGATCAGTCCCAAAACTCTCAAAGAATGTTATAACTTATTGGTAGAGAGTTGAAAACTTGTAGAGTTGAGAGTAGTCCACATTGAGCCAGTGTTCTACATCTGGATTCGTCACCTCGAGCATCCAAGTTGCCGGATTGTATCCATCGGGGAGACGAGGACCCTGGAACAGCCTGCACAAACAAAGTCGCTTGTTTAGAGGCGAGTTTTGCAGAAGAAAACAACTATCCTATCACATACTTCAAAGTGGTTGACGAGTCTGCTGGAATGAATTCCAAGAGGACCAGAGTAAATAACTCGTCCTCCTCGTTGCAGGAGCAGCAGCTAAAACCACACAAACACAACAATCAGTACAAAAGCTGACTGATCAAAAGATCTTACCTCATCAAAGGCTTCGAAGATGTCAATGCTTGGCTGGTGAATGGTACAAACGACGGTACGTCCCATGTTCACTGTATTTCGTACGGTTCTTAAGACAATTGCAGCAGCCCGAGCGTCCAGACCCGAAGTTGGCTCGTCCATAAAAATGATGGAGGGATTTGCAACGAGTTCCACTGCTACTGTCAGTCTCTTTCGCTGCTCGGTGGAAAGCCCCTCCATTCCAGGACGACCAACGATGGCATCCCGGATAGGAGTGAGTTCCACAAGCTCCATGATCTCCTCCACAAACATCTACACCACAAGGGAAAAGAAAACAATCAAACTGAGAAACCACTGAAACCTCTGAAACAAATACTCACCAGTCTGGTTTCTTTTGATACATCCTCGGACAGTTGAAGCCAAGACGAAAAAACAAGCGATTCGTAGACGGTAACATTTGGAGAGTGGATATCATTTTGCTCGCAATAGCCAGAGACTCTAATGAATGTTTCCTGCTTCTTTGGGAATCCCGAGATGGAGATCTCACCCTCTAGCCACCAGTTTTTCGTCCAGCCAAAACATCCATCAGAGTAGTTTTCCCAGCTCCACTCACGCCCATCAGAGCCGTAAGAAGTCCAGGCCTGAAGCTGCTGCTTATGTCGTGAAGAAGCTGGAGCCTGCTTTCGGCCACACCTTCTTTTAGCATCTCCTGGAAGTCAAGTGAGTAAGATGAGATTGGAGAAAGAGCTTAGTTTTGAGAACCAACCGGAGGCATGAATAGTTAACATTGCTGAAGGCTAACGCCAGTGGCTTGAAAGGAAGAACCATTCCAGTTTTCTTCATATCAGCTGGTTTCCTTAGGTCGAGCTCATGCAAATGGAAAATCAGATCCCCCTGAGAATGGAAAAAAGAAGACTTATCCGAGTCATAAACCTTCGACTGATTCTTGTGTCCAGTGACCGAGACTATCGCTTGATTAGATTTACTAGGAGCTGTGATAATTGGAAAAACCGTAAGAACTTCAAGAGTGATCAGTAAGATATCTCAAGGCCAATGTGAAACCAGCATTAAAAAGGATGACGTAGCCACGTTCAGCACCAGTTCCAATCCAGTACCAGTAATCGTCAGAAAAAAGTCCTCGCGACTCTAGGAAGTTTCTTCCAATCGTGGAGTTCCCTTCCAGCTGCAAGCAAGAGAAGAAATATTACCATGAAAAGCTTGTCTTATATAAGACTCACCTGTTGCCACCTTGTTGCACTAAACTCATTAACAGCTAGAGCGTTTTGTCCATACATCATTGGAGACGATCAGTAGCCCCAGATCCACCAGGCATGAATGTTATCTGGAACCAAGAACAAGAAAATTAGATGTTTTGAACTGCAAGAAACGTTTTTTTACCTCTGGAGAGAATAAAGCCACCTAGCGAAAAGATGACCAACAGAG